TCAAGATCAGTCTGGGCAACATAGCAGTACCCTGTCTCTAAAACAAAAAAAAAAGGTATTTTTGTAATTTTGCTCCACTTTCCCATCCCTCAATCCCAATCATGGCTACTGTTGATTCTATTTTTACTTGACTTCACTTCTATAAAATTATTTTTTGAGGATAGGGCACTTTATGCACTGCCCATAAGTATATAAATGATGCAACCACTTTGGAAAATATTTGCCATTATCTACTAAAGTTTAACATGTAACTCTACTTTTGAGTATAAAATTTGCAGAAATTGGCTGGGCATGGTGGTTTACGCCTGTAATCCCAGCACTTTGGGAGGCTGAGGCAGGCAGATCACCTGAGGTTGGGAGTTAAAAATTTGCAGAAATTAACTCTTGCACATATGTACCAGGAGACATATACCAGAATGTTCATAGCAGTATTTGTTTTTTAATTTTTTTGAGACAGATTCTTGCTTTGTCACCTAGGCTGGAGTGCAGTGGCGTGATCTCAGCTCACTGCAACCTCTGTCTCCCGGGTTCAAGTGATTCTCCTGCCTCAGTCACCCAAGTAGCTGGGATTACAGGTGCCTGCCACCATGCCTGGCTAATTTTCATATTTTTAGTAGAGACAGGGTTTCACCATGTTGGCCAGGCTGGTCTCCAACTCCTGGCCTCAAGTGATCTGCCCGCCTCGGCCTCTCACAGTGCTGGGATTACAGGCAGAAGCCACCGCACCTGGCCCCGGTTTTTATTTCTCCTGAGCACAAATCTAGACATAGAATTGCTGGGTCATATGGTAACACTAGTTTAACATTTTGAGGAACTGCCAGGCTATTTCCAAAGCAGTGGCACCTACCAGCGTGTATGATGCTTCCAATTTCTTCACTTTCTCACCAACCCTTGTTATTGTTTGTAACTGAGGTGTTATCTCATTGTATTTTTTTTTTTTTTTTTTTTTTTGAGACGGAATCTCGCTCTGTCGCCCAGGCCGGAGTGCAGTGGCCAGATCTCAGCTCACTGCAAGCTCCGCCTCCCGGGTTTACGCCATTCTCCTGCCTCAGCCTCCCGAGTAGCCGGGACTACAGGCGCCCGCCACCTCGCCCAGCTAGTTTTTTGTATTTTTTAGTAGAGACGGGGTTTCACCATGTTAGCCAGGATGGTCTCGATTTCCTGACCTCGTGATCCGCCGGTCTTGGCCTCCCAAAGTGCAGGGATTACAGGCTTGAGCCACCGCGCCCGGCCTCATTGTATTTTTTATTTTTTTATTTTTATTTTTATTTTTTTTTGAGACAGAGTCTTGCTCTGTCGCCCAGGCTGGGGTGCAGTGGCCGGATCTCAGCTCACTGCAAGCTCCGCCTCCCGGGTTTAGACCATTCTCCTGCCTCAGCCTCCCGAGTAGCTGGGACTACAAAATGTATTCTTTCTCAGCTGGGCAAAGTGACTCACGCATGTAATCCCACCACTTTGGGAGGCCAATGCGGGTGGATCACCTGAGGTCAGGAGTTCGAGACTAGCCTGGTCAGAACGGTGAAAACCCATCTATTCTAAAAATAGAAAAAGTTAAGGCCAAGCGCGGTGGCTCGCGCCTGTAATCCCAGCACTTTGGGAGGCTGAGGCGGATGGATCACGAGGTCAGGAGATTGAGACCATCCTAGCTAACACGGTGAAACCCCGTCTCTACTAAAAATACAAAAAAAAAAATTAGCCGGGCGTGGGGGCGGGCGCCTGTAGTCCCAGCTACTCCGGAGGCTGAGGCAGGAGAATGGCTTGAACCCAGGAGGCGGAGCTTGCAGTGAGCAGAGATAGCGCCACTGCACTCCACAGCCTGGGCGACAGAGCTAGATTCCGTCTCAAAAAAAAAAAAAAAAAAAAAAAAATTCTTTGTATATTTTGGACACAGTTGAGAATTTTGTGCCTCTCAAAGCTTTAACTGTTCCCCAAAGTCCATGAAACATGAACTGACTGAGATAATTTTTCAAGTTAGAAGAGTCATAGTGGCAGGAAACCCTTGTTCAGGAACTACCTACCTGGAGTTCCAGTCAGTTTGAAAGCCACCCACATATCCAAAAAGCTAAAAGAATTCAATATTTTTCTTTGGTACCATGAAAGAAAAATAAAAGATGAGAAAGGGGGATATTTACAAGTTTATTTTGTGAAAAAAATAAGCTTTTTTAGGTTTCATTACACACATGTCCAATTTTACTTCTGTCATTTATGAAGTAACTAAAAGTAAATGAAGTATTCCGTTTTTTTTTTTTCTTTTGGAGACAGGGTCTTGTTCTGTCACCCAAGCTGGAGTGCAGTGGTGTGATCCTGGCTTACTGCAACCTCTGTCTCCCCAGACTCAAGCGATCCTCCAGCCTCAGCCTTCTAAATAGCTAGGACTACAGGCGCACGCCACCACGCTCAGCTAATTTTTGTTTTCTGTTTTTTTTGTTTTTTGTTGAGATGGAGTCTCACTTTTGTTTCCCAGGTTGGAGTGCAATGGTGTGATCTTGGCCCACTGCAACCTCCGCCTCCTGGGTTCAAGCGATTCTCCTGCCTCAGCCTCCCAAGTAGCTGGGATTACAGGTGCGTGTCACCATGCCCAGCTAGTGTTTGTATTTTTAGTAGAGATGGGGTTTCACCATGTTGGTCAGGCTGGTCTCAAACTCCTGAACTCGTGATCCAGCCACCTCAGCCTCTCAAAGTGCTGGAATTACAGGCATGAGCCACTGTGCCCAGTCAATTTTTGTATTTTTTTGTAGAGAGGGATTTCACTGTTTTGCCCAGGCTGGTCTCAAACTCCTGAACTCAAGCTGTCTGCCCACCATAGCCTCCCAAAGTCTTTAATCACAGGCATGAGCCACTGCATCCGGCCTAAATATTTGTCATAAATAAAGATTTTTATAAAGGCATATAGTCATGTTACAATTTTCTTCCTAGTGACCTTACTTTCCTAGTTTACCTAGCAACATTATTTTGCAGGTTCTTTGGTTTGGAAGTTGTATTTTTTTTTCTTTTTTTCATTCTAAGCACCTTGAATTTACCTCAGAAACATTGTTTTCGGAGAAAAAAAATTTGATATTACAAATAGATAAAACCACATTAAAGGGAATATTTTTATAGCATATATTCAAAAATTAATCTGGCCAGTGGCTATGCCTGTAATCTCAGCACATTGGGAGGCCCAGGCAGGAGGATCACTTGAGCCCAGCCGGGGCAACATGGTGAGACCTTGTCACTATAAAAAATTTAAAAATTGGCTGAGCGCAGTGGCTCACATCTGTAATCCCAGCACTTTGGGGGGCTGAGGCGGGCGGATCACCTGAGGTCAGAAGTTCGAGACCAGCCTGGCCAACATGGTAAAACCTCATCTCTACTAAAAATACAAAAATTAGCTGGCCATGGTGGCCCATGCCTGTAATCCCAGCTACTCGAGAGGCTGAGACACAAGAATTGCTTGAACCTGGGAGACGGAGGTTGCAGTGAGCCAAGATAGTGCCACTACACTCCAGCCTGGGCAACAGTGAGAGACTTTGTGTCAAAAAAAAAAAAAATTAGCCGGGCGCAGTGGCTCACACCTGTAATCCCAGCACTTTGGGAGGCCGAGACGGGTGGATCACGAGGTCAAGAGATTGAGACCATCCTGGACAACATGGTGAAACCCCGTCTCTACTAAAAATACAAAAAATTAGCAGGTGCCTGTAATCCCAGCTACTTTGGAGGTTGAGGTAGAAGAAATTGCTTGAACCTGGGAGGCAGAGGTTGCAGTGAGCCGAGATTGCACCATTGCACTCCAGCCTGGGCAAAAAGAGCGAAACTCTGTCTCAAAAAAAAATAAATAAATAAATAAATAAACAATATGGTTCCCATTTACCATAAGATCAGAGCAGACACGGGCCAGTGAACACTCACACTGAAAAGTGTGCTCTCGTTTCCTCTGCTTAGAGTAAGCAGAGGCTCTTGTCCTAGGAGGCAGCTTTGGGGACAGTTTCTCCTGACCAAAAAAACAAATAAGATGGTTCTTGGTAATCAAGAAAAGTTTTTATCCTTTTCCTTACTGGGTTTTTAAAGACAGTCATGGGAACAATCCTTGTATAGGTCCAAATAATCTAATAAGGAGCAAAAAACTAGAATAGGCTGGGCACGGTGGCTTATGCCTGTAATCCCAGCACTCTGGGAGGCCGAGGCAGGTGGATCACCTGAGGTCAGGAGTTGGAGACCAGCCTGGCCAACATGGTGAAACCCTGTCTCTACTGAAAATACAAAAATTAGCTGGGTGTGGTGGCGGGCACCTGTAATCCCAGATACTCTGGAGGCTGAGGCAGGAGAATCACTTGAACCTGGGAGGCAGAGGTTGCAGTGAGCCAAGATCACGCCACTGTACTCTAGACTGGGTGAGACAGTGAGACCCTGTCTCAAAAAAAAAAAAAAAAAAAGGAACTAAAAAGAAAAATTAAGTAGAATAAAAGCCTAATTGGATATATTTTTATCTAGAAAATGTACTTTCTAGATGGAAGGTAGAGTCATACCTCATGCTGTAATAATATAGAAAATAGTCTCTAGGGACCCAGTAGGAGCCATTTCTGTCTTTTTTTTTTTTCCAAGACGGCGTCTTGCTCTGTCACCCAGGGTGGAGTATAATGGCACGATCTCGGCTCATGGCAACCTCCGCCTCCCAGGCTCAAGCAATTCTCCTGCCTCAACCTCCTGAGTAGCTGGGATTACAGGCACGTGCCACCACGCCCGGCTAATTTTGTATTTGTAGTAGAGACGGGGTTTTACCACGTTGGTCAGGCTGGACTTGAACTCCTGACCTCATGATCTGCCCGCCTCAGTTTCCCAAAGTGCTGGGATTACAGGTGTGAGCCACCGCACCTGGCCTGGAGTCATTTCTCATACTTCCTGAATTTCCTTATAAATACTTGACTAAAGATAGATTTATGCTCTCCAGACAAGATGTGATGCGAGATCTAAAAGGTTAAAAAAATACATGTAAAAATACTGTCCATTTACTGTCTTCTGGGACTTTAGGTAAGAATATGAAAACTCAACCACACTTGAGCAGGATGAACCGGGAGGAATTGGAGGACAGTTTCTTTCGACTTCGTGAAGATCACATGTTGGTGAAGGAGCTTTCTTGGAAGCAACAGGATGAGATCAAAAGGTACTCCTTAATTTTTTTTTTTTTTTGAGACGCAGTATTGCTCTGTTGCCCAGGCTGGAATGCAGTGGTGTCATCTCGGCTCACTGCAACCTCTACCTCCCAGATTCAAGCAATTCTCCTGCCTCAGCCTCCCACGTAGCTATGATTATAGGCATGCGTCACCACGCCCAGCTAATTTTGTATTTTTAGTAGAGATGGGGATTCGCCATGTTGGCCAGGTTGGTCTTGAACTTTGAACTCCTGACCTCAGATGATGCACCCACCTCGGCCTCCCAAAGTGCTGGGTTTACAGATGTGAACCACTGTGCCAGACCCAAAAATAATTTTTGATGCAATATTTCTTTAGTCAATTTTTTTGCCAAACATGTCGACAGATTGTGACCACAGGCCACAGAGCATCATTAATAGCTTGGGTGATACTATTTCAGCCCACAGAATAAGAGACTGGACAGTTCCTCCGCTGGTCACAAAAGAGGGGATGGAGACCAAAGGCATGGTCAAAATCTCAGAGGAAAGAAGGCTGCAGGGGCAAGCAAAAGAAGGGGTCTTTATTTGCAAAACAAAACGAAAGATCATATTCAGCCATGCAGGCGTGTTGTAAGTGCTACCTATTTATTTATTTATTTATTTTTGAGATTTTATTTATTTTTTTTTTTGAGATGGAGTTTCGCTCTTGTTGTCCAGGCTAGAGTGCAATGGCGTGATGTCAGCTCACCGCACCCTTGGCCTCCAGGATTCAAGTGATTCTCCTGCCTCAGCCTCCTGAGTAGCTGGGATTACAGGCATGCGCCACCATGCCCAGCTAATTTTGTATTTTTAGTATAGACAGGGTTTCTCCATGTTGGTCAGGCTGGTCTGGAACTCCTGACCTCAGATGATCCACCTGCTTCGGCCTCCCAAAGTGCTTGATTACAGCTGTGAGCCACCGCGCCTGGCCTATTTTTTTTTTTTTTTTTTGAGACAGAGTCTCACTCTGTTTGGGTTGGAGTGCAGTGGTGTGATCTCGGCTCACTGCAACCTCTGCCTACTGGGTTCAAGTGATTCTCCTGCCTCAGCCTCCTGAGTAGCTGCGATTACCAGCTTGCACCACCACGTCAGATTAATTTTTTTTTTTTTTGAGATGAAGACTTGCACCACTGCCCAAGCTGGAGTGCAGTGGTGCAATCTCAGCTCACTGCAACCTCCACCTCCCAGGTTCAAGCAATTCTCCTGTCTCAGCCTCCCAAGTAGCTGGGACTACAGGCACACACCACTATGGCTAGCTAATTTTTTTTTTTTTTTTTTTTTTTTGGAGACGGAGTCTCTATCTGTAGCCCAGGTTGGAGTGCAGAGGTGCGATCTCGGCTCACTGCAACTTCTGCCTCCTAGATTCAAGCGATTCTCCTGTCTCAGCCTCCCGAGTAGCTGGGACTACAGGTGCCCACTGCCATGCCCAGCTACATTTTTTTTTTTGTATTTTAGTAGAAATGGGGTTTTCGCTGTGCTGCCCAGGCTGGTCTCAAACTCCCGAGCTCAGGCAATCAGCCTGCCTCGGCCTCCCAAAGCGCTAGGATTACAGGTGTGAGCCGCCATTTCCAGCCATACCCGGCTAATTTTTTTTTTTTTTTTTTTTTTTTTTTGAGACGGAGTCTTGCTCTGTAGCCCAGGCTGGAGTGCAGTGGCCGGATCTCAGCTCACTGCAAGCTCCGCCTCCCAGGTTCGCGCCATTCTCCGGCCTCAGCCTCCTGAGTAGCTGGGATTACAGGCGCTGCCACCTCGCCCGGCTATTTTTTGTATTTCTTAGTAGAGACGGGGTTTCACCGTGTTAGCCAGGATGGTCTCAATCTCCTGACCTCGTGATCCGCCCATCTCGGCCTCCCAAAGTGCTGGGATTAAAAGGCTTGAGCCACCACGCCCGGCCAATTTTTTTTTTTTTTTTTTTTTTTTTTTAAGTAGAGATGGGGTTTCACCCTGTTGGCCAGGGTAGTCTCGAACTCTCCTGACCTCAGGTGATCCACCCGCCTCGGCCTCCCAAAGTGCTGGGATTATAGGCATTAGCCACTGCGCCAGGCCTTAATATTTATATTTTTAGTAGAGATGGGGTTTCACCATGTTGGCTAGGCTGGTCTCAAACTCCTAACCTCAAATGATCCCCCCACCTTAGACTCCCAAAGTGCTAGGACTACAGGCATGAGCCATTGTGCCCAGTCAGTTTATTTATTAGAAATAGTATTAATTAGCCAGGCACAGTGGCTCATGCCTGTAATTCTAGTACTTTGGGAGGCTGAGGTGGGTGGATCACGAGGTTGGGAGTTCAAGACCGGCCTGATCAACATGGTGAAACCCCATCTCTACTAAAAATACAAAAATTAGCTGGGCGTGGTGGTGGGCGCCTGTAATCGCAGCTACTCAGGAGGCTGAAGCAGAAACCCTTGAACCCAGGAGGCGGACGTTGCAGTGAACTGAAATTATGCCATTGCACTCCAGCCTGGGCGACAAGAGCAAGACTCCATCTAAAATAAAAATAAATAGTATTAATTCATTTAATAGTCTGAAGAGGTATTATTAAGAGAAAAAGGAAGCATAAAGAGGTTAAATAAGTTGCCTGAGATCATACCTAGTGCATAACAGAGGTGGAAATTCTTCTTTGTTTTTGTTTTTGTTTTTGAGACAGAGTCTTGCTGTGTCGCCCAGGCTTGAGTGTAGTGGCACAATCTTGGCTCACCGGCAGTCTCCGCCTCCCAGGTTCAAGTGATTCTCCTGACTCAGCCTCCCCAGTAACTGGGATTACAAGCATGTGCCACCATGCCTGACTAATTTTTGTATTCTTTTTTTTTTTTTTTTTTTTTTTTTGAGACGGAGTCTCGCTCTCGGGCTGGAGTGCAGTGGCCGGATCTCAGCTTACTGCAAGCTCCGCCTCCCGGGTTTACGCCATTCTCCTGCCTCAGCCTCCCAAGTAACTGGGACTACAGGCGCCCGCCATCTCGCCCGGCTAGTTTTTTGTATTTTTTAGTAGAGACAGGGTTTCACCGTGTTGGCCAGATGGTCTCGATCTTCTGACCTCGTGATCCACCCGTCTCGGCCTCCCAAAGTGCTGGGATTACAGGCTTGAGCCACCGCGCCCGGCCTAATTTTTGTATTCTTAGTAGAGACAGGGTTTCACCATGTTGACCAGGCTGGTCTCGAACTCCTTGCCTCAAGTGATCCGCCTGCCTTGGCCTCCCAAAGTGCTGTGATTACAGACGTGAGCCACCGCGCCTGTCCCAGAGGGGAAAACTCTTAACTTCAAAACATATTATTATATACAGTGATCTTAGATTTCTTACTTTAGAAAATGGGGACCTAGAAAGAAATCTGAGACAGAGGTGAGGGAAGGTAAACAGATGGGAAAAATGGGAGTTCTGAAAGTCTGGAGTCTATCTTTAGGACACATTTTGAAGATACTGGTGTCAATGCCTTCCAGCCAAAGAACACCAGGAACATACCTGTAGTTGAGCAAGTTGGGCTTATTCATTACAGCTAGAGAAAATGCACACCAGGGGAACTAAAGGCATCTCAGCACATGTGTTAGACCTTATTATAGTATCTAAGCTTTGTTTGATTGGGTGATTTTGGGGGAGGATCCAAGGAAACAGGGGTTTGCTCCAGATTTCGTGCTGTCAGAAAGCAAGCACAATTCTATGTTTTGGTATCTCAATAAATTATTTTATTTTTCTTTCTTTCTTTCTTTCTTTTTTTTTGAGATAGGGTCTCACTCTGGTACACAGGCTGGAGTGCAGTGGTGCAGTCTCAGCTCACTTTAGCCTCAACTTCCTGGACTCAAGTATCAATAAATCTTATCTACAGGGACGGTAGACTAGTGCAAGGCTGAAGCCATGATTGGTAAAGAAGTTGCAGTCACTCATATTAACCTGGAGAGAAGGATGTTTGGTATTTTGTGGATGGCAGTGATACTAATTTTGTCTGTACATAGACAAAATTAGGCAGTGGACTTGTTTTATATCACTCTATCATGCTTTTGGAGTGAACTTGTTTCATGTTGATGTTCTGTGAGGTGTCCAAAAGAATAGTGGCCGGGCACAGTGGTTTATGCCTGTATTTCCAACACTTTGGGAGGCTGAGGTGGGTGGATCACCTGAGGTCAGGAGTTCGAGACCAGCCTGGCCAACATGGTGAAACCCCGTCTCTACTAAAAATACAAAGATTATCCAGACGTGGTGGTGGGTGCCTGTAATCCCAGCTACTCGGGAGGGTGAGGCAAGAGAATCACTTGAACCCAGGAGGCGGAGGTTGTAGTAAGCGAGGATTGCACCACTGCATTCCAGCCTGGGTGACAGAGTGAGATTCCGTCTCAAAACAAAAACAAATGGAGATAGCACAGACTAGCTTCAAACAACACTGAGGACTAGTTGTGTCAGACCAGTTTCCTAATGTTAAGGGCAGTGTTTTGCTTTCTCATTGTAACCCCCAGGAGTGATTAAGAGCTTTGTTTAGAATCTGCAGGATTGGCAAGGGCGCAGTGGCTCACGCCTGTAATCCCAGTACTTTGGAAAGCCGAGGTGGGCGGATCACTAGGTCAGGAGTTAAAGACCAGCCTGGCCAACACGGTGAAACCCCATGTCTAGTAAAAATAAAAAAATTAGCTGGGAGTGGTGGCAGGTGCCTGTAATCCCAGTTACTCGGCAGGCTGAGGCTGGAGAATCGCTTGAACCCGGTAGGCTGAGGCTGTAGTGAGCCGAGATTGCACCACTGTGCTCCAGCCTGGTTGACAGAGCGAGACGCTGTCTTGTTAAAAAAAAAAAAAAAAAAAAAAAAAAAAATTCTGCATGATTACAGGCCTCCATTGTGGATCAGTACTCTTCAGAGTTGGTGATTTTTCTTTTTCTTTTTTTTTCTTTTGAGACAGGAGTTTCACTCTTGTTGCCCAGGCTAGAGTGCAATGGTGCGATCTTGGCTCACCGCAACCTCTGCCTCCCAGGTTCGAGCGATTCTCCTGCCTCTACCTCCTGAGGAGCTGGGATTACAGGCATATGCCACCACGTGCAGCTAATTTTATATTTTTAATAGAGACGGGGTTTCTCCATGTTGGTCAGGCTGGTCTCGAACTCCTGACCTCAGGTGATCCGCCCACCTCGGCCCCCGAAAGTGCTAGGATTACAGGCGTGAGCCACTGCAAAGGGCCGATTTTTTTTTTTTTTTTCTTGTGGAGGACTCAAGAATCTAGTGACTTGAGTGAAGTCAGAAGGTTGTATGGGCCAAAAAATCTTGTTTCTTGGCCAATGATCAAAGAGTACTTGAGATTATGGATGCTAAATGGTTAATCTGGATTCTATGCCCCTGGCTTTGGGCAAGTTACATAGCTATTTTACACCTTGTTTTCTTTATCTGGGTATAATGATATGTAATAATAATAACTAATACCTGAAGCCCTTACAGTGTACCCCCACTGTTCTAAGCATTTTTTTATATATATATAAGCTTATTAATCCTCACAACAATCTACTGCTTTTATCTTTTTCTGTTTATCTTTATTTATAAATGAGGAAACTGAGCACAGAAAGGTTAAGTGATATGCCCAAAGCTACAGTTAGTAAATATTAGAACAGGCGGGCAGTGTGTCTTAGTCAGCTCAGGATACCACAATAAAATACCACAGACTGGGTGGCTTAACCAACAGACATTGGTTTTCTCAGAGTTCTGAAGCTGGAAGTCTGAGATCAAAGTGCCAGCATGGTCGGATCCTGGTGTGGGCCATCTTTCTAGCTTGCTGACTGCTGCTTTCTCACTGTGTCTTGGGAGGTGGGAGAGGGGGATCTCTTGTTACAAGGTCACAGTCCTATCCAGTTAGGGTCCCACCCTTGTGAACTCATTTAAACTTAACCTCCAAAGGCCTAGTGCGGTGGCTCACGCATGTAATCCCAACACTTTGGGAGGCCAAGGCGGGCAAATCACTTAAGGTCAGGAGCTTGAGATCAGCCTGACCAACATGGAGAAACCCCGTCTCTACTAAAAATACAAAATTAGTATTTTGTGGTTAGGCCTGGTGGCACATGCCTGTAATCCCAGCTACTTGGGAGGCTGAGGCAGGAGAATCACTCGAACTTGGGAGGCAGAGGCTGTGGTGAGCTGAGATCGCGCCATTGCACTCCAGCCTGGGCAACAAGAGCAAAACTCTGTCTCAAAAAAAAAAAAAAAAAACCTCCGAAACACCGAATGTCCAGATACAGTCACATTGGGGGTTAAGGCTTCAACATAAGAATTTTGAGCGGGGACACAATTCAGGCCATAGCACAGTGAGAGCATAGAATCAGATAGTAGTAACAAACCATGATTTTAGGTCAAGATAACAAAAATTGTTACTAAAAGTTATAAAGGAGTTATCCTTAATTTGGAGCACATGTTCAGGGGTCTGCAGACAAGTGGGATAGAAAAAGTACATATTAAAATTGTTATTTATGTTTGTCACCCCTTTAAAACTACATATTTTGTTTTATAATGACTATAATTTATTAGTACAAAAATAAGTCGATATATTATTTATTTATTTATTTATTTTTTGAGACGGAGTCTCGCTGTGTCGCCCAGGCTGGAGTGCAGTGGCACGATCTCGGCTCACTGCAAGCTCCACCTCCCGGGTTCACGCCATTCTCCGGCCTCAGCCTCCGAGCAGCTGGGACTACAGGCGCCTGCCACCACGCCCGGCTAGTTTTTTGTATTTTTAGTAGAGACGGGGTTTCACCATGTTAGCCAGGATGATCTCAATCTCCTGACCTCATGATCCACCCGCCTCGGCCTCCCAAAGTGCTGGGATTACAGGCTTGAGCCACCGCGCCCGGCCGATACATAGTTTTTTAAATGCACACAAACATATTGGGGTAGTAGCCCAGCTTTCTTTTTTTTTTTTTTTTTTTTAACTAAGGTAAGGGTGTAATCACTGCAACAGAATAAAGACAGGTACCACAATGGCCCTGCCCTCAAAAAGTTACAGTGTACTGGGGACAGAAGGTTAATCTTTTAAAAGTGTGATTAATAGATCACAGTAGGCCGGGCACGGTGGCTCAGGCCTGTAATCCCAGCACTTTGGGAGGCCGAGGCGTGCAGCTCACCTGAGGTCAGGAGTTCGAGATCAGCCTCGGCAATACGGTGAAACCCTGTCTCTACTAAAAATACAAAATTAGCCGAGCGTGGTGACACTTGCCTGTAATCCCAGCTACTGGGGAGGCTGAGGCAGGAGAATCTCTTGAACCTGAGAGGCGGAGGATGCGGTGAGCCGAGATCGCGCCACTGCACTTCAGCCTTTGCAACAAGAATAAATCTCTGTCTCACCAAAAAAAAAGAAAAAAAAAAAAAAGAAAAAAAAAAAAGATCACAGTAGATGAATACATATCATAGATCATTTCGTGATTATTTGTTCCAAATAAACTTTAGTAGAAACTTTAGACAGTAGAAATAATAACTGTCATGAAAGGAGAAGCCACGTGCTCTGTCCACAGGCTGAGGACGACCTTGCTGCGGTTGACCGCTGCTGGCCGGGACTTGCGGGTCGCGGAGACGGCGGCGCCGCTAACGGAGACCACAAGGCGCGGGCAGAACGCAGGGTGGCGGCAGCGCCTCTCCATGCACCAGCGCCCCCAGATGCACCGACTGCAAGGGCAGTTGCACCGCCTCGGCTCCGCTGGCCCCCGCCGCGCCCAGCCTCGCGTCCACGTGGGACACAGACAGCTCCACACAGCCGGTGCACCGGTGTCGGAGAAACCCAAAAGGGGTGAGATTTAAGGCCACATCCCCTACAGGACTAAGACACTGGGAAGGACTGATGTGCCAGACACATTTTCCTCACTGCCTTCTTCTGCCCACCACCCCATTTTGTTCTTTTGTTCTCACTCCCTCCTTTCTGCCTCCCTAAAATCTTTTTTTCCTGAGTGGGATATCAGATTCAAAATTCTAAATTCACCATGGAGTACCGCTGAGGGCAGAATCAGACAATAGGTCAGGAGATCGAGACCATCCTGGTCAACATGGTGATACCCTATCTCTAATAAAAATACAAAAATTAGCTGGGCGTGGTGGCAGGCACCTGTAGTCCCAGTTATTCGAGAGGTTGAGGCAGGAGAATCACTTGAACTCGGGAGGCAGAGGTTGCAGTGAGCTGAGATTGCGCCACTGCACTCCAGCCTGGCAACAGAGCAAGACTCCGTCTCAAAAAAAAAAAAATTAGCCAAGCCTGGTGGCACATGCCTGCAGTCCCTCCTACTTGGGAAGCTGATGTGGGAGGATCACTTGAGCCTGGGAGGCGGACGCTGCAGGGAGCCCAAATGGCACCAGTGCACTCCAGCCTGGGCAACAGAGTGACACTCTGCCTCAAAAAACAAACAAACAAAACAAAATCCCCCAAAAGAAAACTGAACGTTGAATATCTAGAGTAGACACCTCATTCTCATGGCCCTAAATCAGGAATGAGTAACCTAGGTAAAGGAAATCTACACACAGCATTTCATTAAGTACTCTTATTTTATTAATAAATATCACTTATTTTGCTTAGTATGGTCTGATCATTTCAAGTTCCGTACTCCAGACAACCAAATGTTTGCAAAAACAACTGAAAGTAGAAAACTCGTTGGCCGGGCGTGGTGGCTCACGCCTGTAATCCCAGCACTTTGGGAGGCTGAGGTGGGCGGATCACAAGGTCAGGAGATCGAGACCATGGTGAAACCCCGTCTCTACTAAAAATAGAAAAAATTAGCCGGGCGCAGGGGCGGGCGCCTGTAGTCCCAGCTACTCGGGAGGCTGAGGCAGGAGAATGGCGTGAACCCGGGAGGCGGAGCTTGCAGTGAGCCGAGATTGCGCCACTGCACTCCAGCCTGGGTGACAGAGCGAGACTCCGTCTCAAAAAAGAAAAAAAAAAAAAGAAAACTCGCATGAATTTAAATTTCAGTTCTATTTAACAGTTCAGCATAGCTGGCCACTGGTTATGTACCGGGCACTAGAGATAAAGATGGGTAGAGTTAGACACACAGTCTCTGCCCTGGACAAGCTTCTACCTTTCTTTTTTCTTCCTATTTGTACTTACTCACTTGTTTTGCAAGAGTGAAAAAAAAAAACTGTTCCTCGGGGACCAGTTGTGATATAAGGGTTTCACCCAGGTCTCAAGACTCTCTATGTCCAGCCCTTCACGTTCCAGTTTCAGCACTTGGTGTTCTGGAGGGTACTGTTGCCAGAGTCTGCATCTTCTGTCTAAACTTTTAGGGCCAAGGGACAGGCTGAGCTACACAGCCCCTCCATCGTTTAAGGAGCATGCGACAAATGAAAACGGAGGTGAAATAGCCAGTGAACACAGCGAACTGTGAGTTCTTCTTATTTATCCCATGTTGTTATTCCTGCCACTTTAATTACAAAGATATCATTAGGGAACAAGTGAATGTTGGTGATTTGAGTCTTTTCAGCATGATCAGGGAAGATGAAAGTCAACCCTAGGTCAAATTCCAACTTCATTGCTTAAAATTGGAAAACAAGCTTCTCTCTGTTCTCTGAGGAAATGAAAATAAAAGTCCTTTTCTCAATTGAAAGTATTCCCTCTATTTCCATTTATATTTTTTTCCTTAGGTCATAATTAATTCCTTTTTTTTTTTTTTTTTTTTTTTTGAGACGGAGTCTTGCTCTGTTGCCCAGGCTGGAGTGCAGTAGCGTGATCTTGGTTCACGGCAACCCCTGCCTCCCGGGTTCAAGCGATTCTCCTGCCTCAGCCTCCCGAGTAGCTGGGACTACTATACAAAATTTTTGTATTTTTAGTAGAGACAGGGTTTCACTATGTTGGCCAGGCTGGTCTCCAACTCCTGACCTTGTGATCCACTCACCTTGGCCTCCCAAAGTGCTGGGATTACAGGTGTGAGCCACCACGCCTGGCCCATAATTCCTTTGTGTCTTTGTTTGACATTTGAAAGCTGTATTCTATAAGATTTTCCTTGACATGTACCAAGATTACTGACTCATTTAACTTATTTTTGTATGTGTGAGAACCCAGTTCTAAACTCCTGTAACAACAGTTTCGAAGTATCCTTTTTGTATTTAGTATTTCTGGTTCTAACAGTATAATTTCTTTCAGCAATGTCGTAAGTATGGCTAAACCCTTTGGTTTATGCATGCCTAACAGTGCCCACACCATGGCCAGCAATACCATGCAAGTGGAAGAGCCACTCAAGTCTCCTGAGAAAATGTGGCCTAAAGATGAAAATTTTGAACAGAGAAGCTCATTGGAGTGTGCTCAGAAGGCTGCAGAGCTTCGGTAAGAGTGTGGCACTCCATGCCTCAAACCAGAATGAACTGAAAAAGCTCATTTACACCTTTCCTCCATCTCAGAGGAAAACAGAGTGTTTGGGATTAAATTCAATCTGAGTAGTAGACATGGAGTCCCTCGTAGGTTAAGAAATGGATTAACCTGCGGGCACAGTGGATCACGCCTGTAATCCCAGCACTTTGGGAGGCCGAGGCAGGCAGATCACTTGAGGTCAGGTGTTTGAGACCAGCTTTGCCAACATGGGGAAACCCTGTCTCTACTAAAAATACAAAAATTAGCCAGGCATGGTGGCAGGCACCTGTAAATCCCAGCTACTAGGGAGGCTGAGGCAGGAGAATCACTTGAACCCGGGAGGCGGAGGTTGCAGTGAGCCGAGATCATGCCATTGCACGCCTAGGCGACAAGAACAAAACTTGGTCTCAAAAAAAAAAAAAAAAAGGCCGGGCGCGGTGGCTCACGCCTGTAATCCCAGCACTTTGGGAGGCCGAGGCGGGCGGATCACAAGGTCAGGAGATCGAGACCACGGTGAAACCCCGTTTCTACTAAAAATAGAAGAAATTAGCCGGGCGCGGTGGCGGGCGCCTGTAGTCCCAGCTACTCAGGAGGCTGAGGCAGGAGAATGGCGTGAACTCGGGAGGCGGAGCTTGCAGTGAGCCGAGATTGCGCCACTGCACTCCAGCCTGGGCGACAGAGCGAGACTCTGTCTCAAAAAAAAAAAAAAAAAAAAAAAAAAAAAGAAAAGAAAAGAAATGAATTAACCTGCTGGGCGCAGTGGCTCACGCCTGTAATCCTAGCACTTTGGGAGAACAAGGCAGCTGGATCACCCGAGATCGGGAGTTCAAGACCAGCCTGGCCAACATGGTGAAACCCCATCTCTACTAAAAATACAAAAAAAATTAGGGGGTGTGGTGGCCAGCACCTGTAATCCCAGCAACTCAGGAGGCTGAGGCAGGAAAATCCCTTGAACCTGGGAGGCCGAGATTGCAGTGAGCCGAGATTGCACCATTGCACTCCAGCCTGGGCAACAAGAACAAAACTCTGTCAAAAAAAAAAAAAAAGAAAGATAGAAAAGAAAGAAGGGAGAGGAGGGCGTGGGAGGGGAGGGGAGGGAGAGGAGAAAGAAAGAGAGAGAGAGGGAGGGAGGGAGGAAAGAAAGTAAGAGAGAGAGAGGAAGGAAGGAAAGAAGGACGGGAGGGAGGGAAGGAAGGAGGGATTAACCTAAAGGGGATGTTTATGTATAATAGGATATTTGCTGCTTCACTATATAGAAGGAAAACTACTTCATCCTCATCACCAGATAGGGATTCTTAGCCCTCTCTGTGCATCAAGTCCTGGATAACTTTTTTAAAAATATATTTTTCAGACAAGTTTTAGTTTTATAGCAAAATTAAGCAGGAAATAGAGTCCCTGTATACCCACTGCCTCCATACCCACACAGCCTCCCCAACTGTCAGCAACCCATACCAGAGTGGTGCATTTGTTACAATCAGTGAAACTACATTGACATATCATTACATTGACCGTCCTTTAATAGTTTACATTAGGGTTAACTCTTGGTGTTATACATTCCATGGGTTTTGACAAATGTATAAGGACATGTATCCATCATTATAGCATCATACAGAATAGCCTCACTGCCATAAAAATCCTCTGTGTTCCACCTAGTCATGTCTTTTACCTCCAGCCCTGGCAAGCACTGATCTTTTTACTGTCTCCAGTTTTGCCTCTTCTAGAACGTCATATAGTTGGGATTATATAGTATGTGGCCTTTTCAGATTGGCTTCTTTCACTTAGTAACATGCATTTAAGTTTCCTCCATGTCTTTTAATGGTTTGAAAGCTCATTTTTTCAAAACACCAAATAACATTCAATTGTCTATATGTACCAGTTTATTTATCCATTCAGCTACTGAAGGATGTCTTAGTTGCTTCCAAGTTTTGGCAATTATGAATAAAGCTGCTATTAACATTATGTGTAGTTTTTTGTATGGATATAAGTTTTCAACCTGGAGACATTTTAAAACCACAGATCCAGGCCCGGTGTGGTGGCTTACGCCTGTAATCCCAGTACTTTGGGAGGCCAAGGTGGGTGTATCATTTGTCGTCAGGAGATCGAGAACAGCCTGGGCAACATGGTGAATCCCCATCTCTACTGAAAATACAAAAATTAGCCGGGTGTGGTGACTCATGCCTGTAATTCCAGCTACTCGGGAGGCTGAGGCAGGAGAATAGCTTGAACCCGGGAGGCAGGGGTTGCAGTGGGCCAAGATCACGCTACTACTGCACTCCAGCCTGGGCAACAGAGCAAGACTCCGTCTCAAAAAAAAAATAAATAAATAAATAAATAATAGATTCCTGGGCCCCATCTCTGAGATTCCCTTTCAATTATTTGGGGGTAGAATTCAGGCAGTGTAATTTTAAGATCGCTCCAGGTTATTCTAATAAGCAGCTAGACAGGGACTCAATGAGATAGAGTGGAGTGAACTCAAATCCTCCCCAGTGTCTCTTTCAATCTTTCAAACAATAAAGAAAACGTGAGCTCCTAGGTTCAGGAATAATAGTCTTCTTTTTTTTTTTTTTTTTTTTTGAGACAGAGTCTCACTTTGTTGCCCAGGCTGAAGTGTAGTGGCACCTTGTCAGCTCATGGCAACCTGTCTCCCAGGTTCAAGCATATTCTCCTGCCTCAGCCTTCTGAGTAGCTGGGATTACAGGCATCCACCACCTTGCCTGGATAATTTTTTTTTTTTGAGACGGAGTCTCGCTCTGTCGCCCAGGCTGGAGTGCAGTGGCCGCCTCTCAGCTCACTGCAAGCTCCACCTCCCGGGTTCACGCCATTCCCCTGCCTCAGCCTCCCGAGTAGCTGGGACTACCGGTGCCCACCACCTCGCCCAGCTAGTTTTTTTTTTTTGGTATTTTTTTAGTAGAGACGGGGTTTCACCTTGCTAGCCAAGATGGTCTTGATCTTGTGACCTCGTGATCTGCCCGTCTTGGCCTCCCAAAGTGCTGGGATTACAGGCTTGAGCCACCGCGCCCGGCCTAATTTTTATATTTTTAGTAGAGACAGGGTTTCACCATGTTGGCCAGGCTGGTCTCGAACTCCTGACCTCAGGTGATCTGCCTGCCTTGGCCTCCCAAAGTGCTGGGATTACAGGCGTGAGTCACTGCTCCCGGCCTAATCTTCTATTATTTTATTTTATTATTTTTTTCTTTTCCGAGACAGAGACTCACTCTGTCACCCAGGCTGGAGTGCAGTGGTGCAAACTCAGCTCACTGCAACCTCCACCTGCCAGGTTCAGGTGATTCTCCTGCCTCAGCCTCCCGAGTAGCTGGGACTACAGGTGTGCGCCACCATGCACAGCTAATTTTTGTATTTTTAGTAGAGACGGGGTTTCACCACGTTGGCCAGGATGGTCTCAATCTCTTGACCTCGTGATCCACCCGCCTCAGCCTTCCAAAGTGCTGGGATTATAAGCGTGAGCCACTGTGCCGGGTGTATTTTACTATTATTATTATTATCATTATTTTTTGAGACAGAGTCTCGCTCTGTTGTCGCCAGGCTGGATGGAGTGCAGTGGTGCAATCTCAACTCACTGCAACCTCCTCCTCCCAGGTTCAAGCGATTCTCCTGCCTCAGCCTCCTGAGTAGCTGAGACTACAGGTGCACACCCCCCACGCTCAACTAATTTTTGTATTTTTAGTAGAGATGGGGTCTCATCATGTTGGTCAGGATGGTCTTGTAATGCCCAGACTGTTTGTTCCCCAAAGAAGACCACCAGAGTCCAGAGTCAAAGCCAAGCGGCAAGGATCTTTACTACAAGTTCGAACCTGGTCCTTCCATTCCACAGCATACAAGAGGGCCCCGAACAACGCGAGCGTTTGCTTTTTATAGCCCGAAAGTTGCAGGGGAACAAAGAAATTCCTTTTGGCTCCCGCGCTTTCAGTAACCTTGAACGGCTGTCTCCTTATTGGAGACTTTCCAGGTGGTGTTTGTACTGGGCTCAGGGAGTTTGAGAGATATATGGCGGTATGTGGTGGGATGGGAGGATGGGATGTGTTTGTACTAGGCTCAGGGAGTTTTGAGCCCGGGGCTGAGGAATGTGCCCAGCTCCTTTCAGTCTCAATCTCTTGACCTCGTGATCTGCCTGCCTCAACTTCCCAAAGTGTTGGGATTACAGGCCTGAGCCACCGCACTCGGCCACTACTGTTATTTTTTGAGACAGAGTCTCACTCTGTTGCCCAAGCTGGAGTGCAGTGACGTGATTTCGGCTCACTGCAACCTCAGCCTCCCGGAGTTCAAGCGATTCTCTTGCCCAGCGTTCATAGTAGTTGGGATTACAGGCTTCTGCCACCACACCCGTCTGATTTTTGTATTTTTAGTAAAGACGAGGTTTTGCCATGTTGCCCAGGCTGGTCTCCAACTCCCGACCTCAGGCCATCTGCCCGCCTCAGCCTCCCAAAGTGCTGGGATTATAGGCGTGAGCCACAGTGCCTGGTTCATAATCTTCTTTTTAAGTTTTCTAGCACATTCAAACCTCACTGGCTTCTCTAAGGAAACAAGGCTGAGACCTAGCTTGACATTGCAAGGTTTATGAGAAATTATGAACACCATCATTTTAAAAAGTAGTTATTATCTTTTCTCAGAACATAAGCTTAAGGTTAGTGATCTCTATCAAATCTTGGCTGGCGTGATGAGAAACGGGAGAAAGGACATTATTTACTAGAGTGTACATACACATACTTCTGTTCTAGTATGGGGAAGGGGGAGGCAAGAGACAAGAGGGAGGTATTCTTATTGGGGCACAGTCAAGGAGAAAATGTCTTTAATTCTGTCCATGTTCAGACAGAATAATTTAGCACCTTTCTCTGCAGAGCTTCCATTAAAGAGAAGGTAGAGCTGATTCGACTTAAGAAGCTCTTACATGAAAGAAATGCCTCATTGGTTATGACAAAAGCACAATTAACAGAAGTTCAAGAGGTGAGTTGCCACCATGAGCTGTGCTTTCTTGGTGGGGGGAACCCCAAATAAGAGATTCCTATTATTTTCTCCATTTTACATATGGGAAGCCACAATTCAGAAAGACTAAGTTACTTGTCTAAGGTCACACAATTTATAAGTGATATTCAAATCCAAGCCTTACAGCTCGGAGTATATTCTTTTCCCAGTATTTCCCATTATTTCTCTATTAAGAAGAAGGCTCAAGCTCTGCCTGCTAAGGTGAAAGAGAGTGGAGTTAACTTGTGTAAGGGTTAAGGTCCCCTACAAAGACCACAAACCAGAATGTGATTAAATTAGGAAGCCAAAAAGCACAGGGGAAGGGAAGGAAACTAGCCTTTTAGCACTTTCTGTGAGCTGCACTCTGTCCCGGATATTTACCGTCATTATATTTTCTAAGCCTGACGACTGCCCTCAGGGTAAGTACATTTAGCATTATCACACATTAGAAACTAATATCTGATTGGTGGAAATAGAGTATCAAGGGTCAAAGTAACGTCAGCACCATCCTTTTATTGAACAAATATCTATCCAGTACCTGGAATTGCAAAGCACACGGATACAGAGATTACAAAGATAAATAAGATAACATCTGCCTTCAAGGCGTTTATAGGAATGAGAGAACAAGTAAACAAATTCAACTATGCGTATGCAGAGTATGGGCAGGACACAAAAGAGAGAGTAGTCAGACTCACCAGTGGGTGAGGTGCTGATATGGCTTTGATGAGTGGAGGAACACCAGGGCTCTTGTCTCACGTGAATTAGATAAAACGACAGGGACACATGTGGAGCGGCTTTAAGGAGCGGAGAGTTTAATAGGCAAGAAAGAAGGGAGAACAAAGACGGAAGAAGCTCCCCTCTACAGACACAAAGGGAGGAATATTCCAAAGCCGAGAGAAGAGACCCATGTGCGGGGGAAAAGTGGCTGCTTATATAAGTAGGCAGGAGGAGGTGGTGTCTGATTTGCATAGGGCTCAGGGATTGGTTTGACCACGCATGTCGCTCATGTAGCCTGTGGAAAAAACTGGCCCTCCTACCCTAGCCTTAAAAGTATGCAAATACAGGGCGCCATGATGTTACACACACTTGGGGATTGGTGGGGGTGGCCATGTTGCCAGGTACATGTTGGGGCAAGGGCAGGAAGACGAGGGCGGGAATCGCCATGTTTGGGTGGACCCAGTTTCTAAAGACCTATATTTGCATATCAAAGGTTGTCTGCCCGGCTGTAAGAGCCGGGGCTTTCCTGTTAGACAAAAAACGTTTCTGGAGCTGCTTTAAAGGACGTGAAAACTTTCCAAGGACCGCTTTTTCTCTCTATCTGCCTAAAATTAGTTTTAATAACTCCTATAACAGTGCTAGATCAGAAAAGGATGGGTGCCGTGGCTCGAGCCTGTAAACCCAGCACTTTGGGAGGTCAAGGAGGGAGGATAACTTGAGCCCAGGAATTCGAGACCAGCCCAGACAACATGGCGAAACCTCATCTCTACCGAAAATACAAAAATTAGCCGGGCATCGTGATATGTGCCTGTGTCCTAGCTACTCTGGAGGCTGAGGCAGAAGGATTGCTTGAGTGCTCCAGCCCAGGAGGCAGAGGTTGCAGTGAGCCGAGATCCTGATACCGCACTCCAGCCTGGGTGACAGCGTGAGATTTTGTCTCAAAAAAAGAAAAAAGAAAAGAATTGATAAAGGAATAGATTTGTGAGTTAAATACTGAAATATTAAAAGATTAGCATGTGTTAATAAGTGTGCAAGAGAAAGGAGGGGCTTTCCGTGAGAGCAGAGGTGAGAAACATCAGGAACCTGGTCATGGAGAACACACTAAGAATTTTTTGCTTGTTGTCATTAAAGACAGAACATGCTAGGAATTTAGACTTTATGCCATAGACAGCAGAGAGCTGTGTGAAAGGGTTTTAAGCAAGTTGATACCATCAATTTTTTTTTTTCTCTCAAAAAGATTACTTGAACTTTAAAAAAAAAAAAAAAAGATTGGGAGGCCGAGGCGGGTGGATCATCTGAGGTCAGGAGTCTGAGACCAGCCTGGCCAACATGGTATTTTAGTCTCTACTAAAATACAAAAATTAGCTGGGTGTGGTGGGGGCACCTGTAATCTCAGCTACTTGGGAGGCAGAGGCAGGAGAATTGCTTGAACCTGGGAGGCGGAGTTTGCAGTGAGCCGAGATTGTGCCACAGCACTCCAGCCTGGGTGACAGAGTGAGACTGTCTCAAAAACAAAAACAAAAACTTACCTCTCATGTTTGCTACAGAGATTAAATGAGATAATATATGTGAAATGATTATAATGATCATCATGTAGCAGGTAATGAAACACATAGTAACATATAACACATAACAACTACTCAACTAATTATACCTGTTGTTATGATCATTATTTTTTTTTCTAAAACCGAGGAGATCTTTCTGAAGCATGCTAAGTAATAGTACCTAGTTTAAGATTAAACATTTTTCTTGGATAATCCGCTAAGTACAATGCAAATGTGAATAAATGACCCTTCATTATTTTTTGAGAAATGGTGTGAAAGATTGCAATCACATACTACTTGGCAAGCTAGGGCAGGGGAAAAATAGCAACAATTAGTAAACAAGTACACAAATTGACTTGTTTTGTGGGATTTTTATAATGTCTTTAAAAACGTTAAGCATTTATATTACAGTCATAAATATATCGTGAAATTGATAAATTAATAAAATAATAATAATTTCTTTCTTCCAGGCATACGAAACCTTGCTCCAGAAGGTACTTAATGAGAATTGAGTCTCCGTTTCTTTGTAACCAGAAAAATCAAACTCAAAGAAATCTATGTTCATCTCCAAGTAACATAACACCAGAATTTAGCTAACTAAATCAATGTTATTATGTCATATAGTTTCTGTTAAAAATGATACTATTATCAAAAGATACTTATTGCACTGTTTTCATAAAAGTTGAAATATGAGATTGGAGTTGAGAAATATTTGGCGTGGAATTTTTAAGCCTATTGCTGAAGCAAATTATAGTATGCTCAAAACTTGAGTATTCTTCAAGCATGTGTGAAGTGATGAGATATAAACAAAGTTGTTGCCAGTGTTCTCAGATGGTCTTAAATATTTGGCCTTATTCACCACTGTGAGTGGGCTGCATGTGAAGCTGGGTGAATGTCTGTGCTTAAGAATCACCACTAAGACAGGGTTCCAAACGAGACCACCCAGCTGTGCCTCACCAGAGGAGTCCACCAGAAACACACAGAGAACTTCTAGAGTTAACATGTCACTTTTCTAGGTACAAACGGAGAAATAAATCATCATAAAAAAAACAGTCAAATAGCTTAGAAAGTGAAGGCAGCTTTGGAAGGTGGCAACTAATTTAGAACTAGGGATTAATTTGAACCTTGAGAAAATTCAGGCTCAGGGGCCAGGCACGGTGGCTCACGCCTGTAATCCCAGCACATTGGGGGGCCAAGGCAGGTGGATGACCTGAGGTCAGGAGTTCGAGACCAGCCTGGCCAACATGGAGAAACCCCATCTCTATTAAAAATACAAAAATTAGCCGGACGTGGTGGCTCATGCCTGTAATCCCAGCTACTTAGCAGGCTAAGGCAGGAGAATTGCTTGAACCCGGTAGGCAGAGGTTGCAGTGAGCCAAGCACCATTGTACTCCAGCCTGGGCAACAGAGCGAGACTGTCTCAATAAATAAATAACTAAATACAAGAAAAGAAAATTAAGGCTCAAATGATGTACTAAAATTGCCCAGAATGGAAAACCCTACCTACCAGGGAAATTATACTTCCAGAGAAATGCTAGGGTGAAAAACAGGGTAAACTAACAGTACAAAGTTAATACACTATTAATCATAGTCATTCTTTGTGACATCTCTTAGAGAATGCTAGGGTTGCTGGTGTCTGGAGACCACTCGTGCTGAGTGATATGACCATTCCTAGAGGTACTTTCCTTTTGCCCCAGAATCAGGGAATCCTGAGTGCAGCCCATGAGGCCCTCCTCAACCAAGTGAATGAGCTCAGGGCAGAGCTGAAGGAAGAAAGCAAGAAGGCTATGAGCTTGAAGAGCCAACTGGAAGATGTGTCTATCTTGCAGATGACTCTGAAGGAGGTAAATAATAATAGTTGAAAGATACCATCTACATTTCAACTTCAGGGATGTTAGAATGTGTATCTTAGCAACAATATGAGTATTGCATTCTTTCAAAGGACAAAAACGAAGCTCCAAGTGGTTAAATCATTTGTTTTAGATTACACCATTAGGGGCAAAGCTCGGATTTATACTTATGTCTGTTTTCCAAAGTCCTTGCTCTTTCATAATGTTTTGCTGCTTCCCTAACAGTAGAAACCCAGAGACAATGAAGATTTATTTTGGAAAATCCTCATTAATTCCAATGAAAGTTTCTAGCCAACCTTCAGTTGGTTCAAGTCTTTCTAGTTGAATGGCTTCTCATAGACATTGGAGATGGCGATAGAAAGGCTCTCACCCACACCCCTCCCTGCCATGGAAAAGGGAAATCCTGTGCGGGGGAATAGATTTTTAAATTTTATCTCAAGGACTACTATCACTCTTAGTTTCAGGAGAGAGTTGAAGATTTGGAAACAGAACGAAAATTGCTGAATGACAATTATGACAAACTCTTAGAAAAGTGAGTACCACATTTGGGTCCCAGAGCATTGTTACTATGAAAGACGTTATAGAAAGTTCATTCCTAATACCTAGCATTAATAAATATATGGGGAAATTGGTACTCAATATTGTTAGTGAGAATATACATTGGCAGCCTTTTGGAAGGGAATTTAACACTATTAAAATGTTAAATGTGCATATCTTTTTTCTTTCCTTTTTTTCTTTTTGAGGTGGAGTCTCGCTCTGCTACCCGGCTGGAGTGCAGTGGTGCGATCTTGGCTCACTGCAACCTCTGCGATCCGGGTTCAAGCAATTCTCCTGCCTCTTCTGCCTTTTTTTTTTTTTTAAACCGGCAATTCCTTTTTCTTTTTTTGAGACATAATCTCTCTCTGTCGTCCAGGCTGGAATACAGTGGCATTCTAGGCTTACTGCAGCCCCAGTCTCCCAGGCTCAAGCAATCCTCCCACCTCAGCCTCCCCAGTAGCTGGGACTACAGGTGTGCGCTGCCACACCTGGCTAATTTTTTTCTATTTTTTGTAGAGACAGGGTTTTTTCAGGTTGCCCAGGCTGGTCTCAAACTCCTGGGCTCAAGTTATCTGCCTGCATCAGCCTCTCAAAATGCTGGGATTACAGGCATGAGCCACCATGTCTGCCAAATTTTTGGGGGAGGCGGTGGGGAATCAAAATGAAAAAATTCTCTTGTGTATGTGCAAATATATATAAGAAGAATGTTGCTGGGTGCAGCAGCTCACACCTGTAATCCTAGCACTTAAGGATGCAGAGGTGGGAGAATAACTTGAGCCTAGTAGTTCGAGACCTGTCTGGGCAATATAGTGAGACCCTGTTCTCCACAAAAAGGGAAAAAAAAAAAGGAATATTAATTACTGCCCTGTTAGTAATAGCAAAAAAACAAAAATAAATAAACAAACAAAAAGGAAATCGCTGATAAAAGATTGATTACATAAAGCATGTTGCTTCCTCACAATGAAGTGCTATGCAGCTGTTAAAAATGAGATAGATGGCTGGGCGCGGTGGCTCATGCCTGTAATCCTAGCATTTTGGGAGGCCAAGGCGGCCGGATCACGAGGTCAGGAGTTCAAGACCAGCCTGACCAACATGACAAAGCCCCGTCTCTACTGAAAATACAAAAATTAGCTGGGCGTGGTGGCGCGCACCTGTAATCCCAGCTGCTCAGATGACTGAGGCAGGAGAATCGCTTGAACCCGGGAGGCGGAGGTTGCAGCGAGCTGAGATTGCGCCACTGGACTCCAGCCTGGCCGACAGAGCGAGACTCCATCTCAAAAAAAAAAAAAAAAAAAAAAAGAGAGATAGATATATTGTTAAAAGAAAAAGCAAGCTGAAAATGAATATGTTAACTCTGACATGGTTTATGTTATGTATCTGTATGTTTCCACAAACCTTTAATGAGATAAGAGGATTCGAATAAAGCAAGGGGCACCTTCACCTTCACTTTTATTCTTTTTTTTTTTTTTTTTTGAGATGGGGTTTCACTCTGTTACCTAGGCTGGAGTGCAGTGGTGTCAGCTCACTGTGATCACCACCTCTCAGACTTAAGCAATCTTCCCACCTCAGCCTCCCAAGGAGCTGGGACCACAGGTGCACACCACCATGCCTGGTTAATTTTTGTATTTTTTTGTAGAGATGGTGTTTTGCCATGTTGCCCAGGCTGGTCTTGAACTCCCAGGCTCAAGTGATTTTCCCACCTCAGCCTCCCGAGTAGCTGGGACCACAGGCACACGCCGCCACACCTGCCTAATAGTTTCTATATTGTGCAGAGACGGGGTTTTGCCAGATTGCCCAGGCTGGTCTCCAACTCCTGGGCTCAAGTGATCTGCTTGCCTCGGCCTTCCAAAGCGTTGGGATTACAGGCGTGAGCCACCACCCTGGCCTATTCTATATGCTGATATATTATTCTAATTTTTCACAATGAATATGTATTCATGCATTAATTTTATAATTAAAAATAACTGGAAGTGGCCTGGCATGGTGGCTCATTCCTGTAATCCCAGCACTTTGGGAGGCTGAGGCAGGAGGATCTCTGGAGCTCAGGGGTTCACGACCAGCCTGTGCAACATGACGAAACCCCCTCCACAAATTATTTTGAAAATTAGCCGGCCGGGCACAGAGAATCACTTGAACCCAGGAGGCAGAGGTTGCGGTGAGCCGAGATCAGGCCATTGCACTCCAACCTGGGCAACAAGAGCAAAACTCCATCTCAAAAAAAAGAAAAATTAGCTGGGCAGCTGGGCACAGTGGCTCATGCCTGTACTCCTATCACTTTGGGAGGCCAAGGTGGGCAGATTGCCTGAGCACAGGAGTTCGAGACCAGCCTGAGCAACATGGCAAAACACTGTCTGCACTAAAAATACAAAAAATTAGCTGGGCGTAGTGGCAGGCACCTGTAATGCCAGATACTTGGGAGGCTGAGGCAGGGTGAACTGCTTGGACCTGGGAGGTGGAGGTTGCAGTGAGCCGAGATTGTGCCACTGCACTCCAGCCTGGGCAACAGAACAAGACTCTGTCTCACAAAAAAAAAAAAAAATTAGCTGGGCATGGTCGGGTGCATCTGTATTCCCAGATACTCAGAAGACTGAGGCAGGAGGATCGCTTGAGCCCAGGAGGTCAAGGCTGTATTGAGCTATGTGCAGTGCAGTGCAGTGAGAAAGTGAGACTCTCAAACAAAAAAACAACCTGTAAGTAAAAGAAAAAAAGTTTTGAAAACTTAAAAGTACCAGGCTGGGTTCGGTGACTCATGCCTATAATCCCAGCACTTTGGGAGGCCGAGGCTGGCAGATCACAAGGTCAGGAGATCGAGACCATCCTGGCTAACATGGTGAAACCCTGTCTCTACTAAAAATACAAAAAATTAGCCAGGTGTGGCGGCGTGCACCTGTAGTCCCAGCTGCTCGGGAAGCTGAGGCAGGAGAATGACGTGAACCGGGGAGGCGGAACTTGCAGTGAGCCGAGATTGTGCCACTGCACTCCAGCCTGGGCGACACAGTGAGACTCCGTCTCAAAAAAAAAAAAAAAAAAAAGCTTAAAAGTACCTTTTGATCTAGTAAAAGGCAGCAGGGGGTAGATTGAGGAGGTCTTATGGGAGCACCTGGGAACAACTGATGTTCTTCATCTCAGTGAAATAAAGCAGTGTGGGGAGTATCCACTTTGATAGACATTACTCTGTGATAGACATTACTATTTGCCTCTCTCCTTCATCACTCAAAATGCTATTTTCTTGAGTCTTTACATGGTAATGGTCAGGAAATGCCAAGAAATGTTAATACTTGCCTAAGTAAGTTATTATTATTATTATTATTATTTTTTTTTTTTTTGAGGCAGAGTCTCACTCTGTTGCCCAGGGTGGAGTGCAGTGGCGTGATCTCGGCTCAGTGCAACCTCTGCCTCCTAGGTTCAAGCAATTCTCCTTCCTCAGCCTCACAAGTAGCTGGGGCCACTGGTGTGTGCCACCACGCCTGGCTAATTTTTGTGGTGTTTTTTTTTTTTTTGAGATGAAGTCTCACTCTGTTGCCCAGGCTGGAGTGCAGTGGCACAGTCTCAGCTCACTGCGACGCCTGCCTCCTGGGTTTAAGCGATTATTCTGCCTCAGCCTCCCAAGTAGCTGGAATTACAGGTGCCTGCCACCACACCTGGCTAATTTTTTGTATTTTTAGTAGAGACAGGGTTTCACCATGTTGGCCAGGCTGTCTCCAACTCCTGACCTCAAGATCCACCCACTTCGGCCTCTCAAAGCACTGGGATTACAGGTGTGAGCCACCGTGCCCAGCCAGTTTTTGTATTTTTAATGGAGATAGGGTTTCACCATGTTGGCCAGGCTGGCCTTGAACCCCTGACCTCAGATAATCTGCCTACCTTGGCCTCCCAAAGTGCTGGGATTACAGGTGGGAACCACCCGGCCTGGCCGGTGAGTTATTTATTTATTTTTTGAGATGGAGTCTCGCACTGTTACCTGGGCTGGTGTGCAGTGGTATAATCTCGGTTCACTGCAACCTCTGCCTCCTGGGTCCAAGCGATTCTCCAGCCTCAGCCTCCCAAGTAGCTAGGATTACAGGCACCTGCCACCACACCCGCTACTTTTTGTATTTTTAGTAGAGACGGCATTTCACTGTGTTGGCCAGGCTGGTCTCGAACTCTTGACCTCGTGATCCACTCTCCTTGGCCTTGCAAAGTGCTGGGATTACAGGCATGAGCCACTGCGCCCAGCCCGATAAATTATTTTTAAACCACATTTATTAAATTGATAAATACAAAATAAAACATAAAAAGAAACAATTGATTATTCGTGTCATTTCATTTTTATGAATGATCAAGAACTAGCCATGTGGCTGGGCATGGTGGCTCACACCTATAATCGCTGCACTTTGGGAGGCCGAGGCAGGTGGATCACCTGAGGTCAGGAGTTCAAGACCAGCACAGCCAGCATTGTGAAGTCCCCTCTATTAAAAATACAAAAATTAGGCCAGGCACGGTGGCTCAAGTCTGTAATCCCAGCACTTTGGGAGGCCAAGGCGGGTGGATCACAAGGTCAGGAGATCGAGACCATCCTGGCTAACATGGTGAAACCCCATCTCTACTAAAAATACAGAAAAAATTAGCCAGGCATGGTGGCAAGTTCCTGCAGTCCCAGCTACTCGGGAGGCTGAGGCAGGAGAATGGCGTAAACCCGGGAGACGGAGCTTGCAGTGAGCCCAGATTGCGTCACTGCACTCCAGCCTGAGCCACACTCTGTTTCAGGAAAAAAAAAAAATACAAAAATTAGCTGGACCTGGTGGTGGGTGCCCGTAACCCCAGCTACTCAGGAGGCTGAGGCAGGAGAATCGCTTGAACCTGGGAGGTGGAGGTTGCAGTGAGCCAAGACTGCACTCCTGCAGTCCAACCCGGGTAACAGCTCAGGACCACTGCTGTGCGCCACCATGCCTCAAAAAAAAAAAAAAAAAAAGGAACCAGCCATGTGTATTTTATACTCAGAATGGGTCTGCTCTGACAGCTTGATGCAATAGGGTGGAGGATACAGTTTTTGAAAGTTTAATTCCTGCCCTTCAGCATAGTAGTTTATAATCTAGGTCAAAGACAAACATTCTCTAGCCGTTGGTGAAGGTAGATAGAGGCATGGGGTATGAAACAAGGAAGATTTTGTTTTTCATTTCTCATCCAGGAGGGCTGGGAATGTCTTGGTACATAGTTCCCTGACTAAAGATAGCCATCATGATGGAGAAGTTCCTTGGGAAATGGATATGACTTGGGATGTTTGCTAAGTGAGATATCTGAGACCTAAACGGAAGTGGTACTGAGCAATAACTTAGTAGGACTCAAAAGTTCCAAGGCAGTTGGTAAATGACAGTTATGAATAAAGCAAGGGGCAGAAAAAAACATGTAGGGGAATGAATGAGGAACTAGGTCCAGGAGATGCTGAACCTGGATAATAAAGACGTCATATCACACACCTTGGGGTATCCATCTGAGAGCTTGCTTTCTGTTGTCAGCATGCTGGACAGCAGTAGTCAGCCCCACTGGAGCAACGAGCTCATAGCAGAACAGCTGCAGCAGCAAGTCTCTCAGCTGCAGGATCAGTTGGATGCTGAGCTGGAGGAGAAAAGAAAAGTTTTACTTGATCTGTCCAGGGAGAAAGGTAGGTTGGACCTTGAAGAGCTCTTGCAAATGTGGCATCCTCTACCTCTGGTGTGGGAGAAGAGCACTTGAGGCATCATTTCTTCAATCCCCTCACTTGATCCTATTCTTTTGTGGATTGTAGGTAACTAGAATGAGAACACTAGCAATAGATCAGATCTACGATCAGGAAAGCATGACACTTACCTATCTCTCATGTATACTTTTTCCTGTATAATGTCTTTCCATTTGAGAAGATGCTAGTTTTTTTGTTTGTTTGTTTGTTTGCTTTTGTTTTTGTTTTTTTCTGAGGTGGAGTTTTGCTCTTGTTGCCCAGGCTTAAGTACAGTGGCGCAATCTCAGCTCACTGCAACCTCCACCTCCCAGGTACAAGTGATTCTCCTATCTCAGCCTCCCAAGTAGCTCAGATTACAGGCATGCACCACCACGCCTGGCTATTTTTTTTCGTATTTAGTAGAGATGGGATTTTACATGTTAGTCAGGCTGGTCGTGAACTTCTGACCTCAGATAATCCACCAGCCTCAGCTTCCCAAAGTGCTGGGATTACAGACGTGCGCCACTGCGCCTGGCCTGCCAGTTCTTAATTTATTATGTTTTTCAAACATTCAGTTTATTGAAAATTTTATTTTGTTTTGTTTTGTTTGTTTGTTTTTTCTGAGAGAGTCTCGCTCTGTCACCCAGGGTGGAGCACAGTGATGTGATCTTGGCTCACTGCAACCTCTGCCTCCCAGGTTTAAGAGATTCTCCTGCCTCAGCCTCCCAAGTTGCTGGGCTTACAGGTGCCCACCACTACACCCAGCTAATTTTTTGTATATTTTAGTAGAGACAAGGGTTCACTATGTTGGCCAGGCTGGTCTCAAACTGACCTCAAGTGATCCATCCCCCCCAGCCTCGCAGAGTGCTGGGATTGCAGGTGTAAGCCACTACACCTGGCTGAAAGTATTGAAAGTGAATTTCTCTGTCTTTTATCATTCTCATTATTTTAGAGGTAACTGGAAGACTTTTTTTTTTTTTTCTACCCAATTCTTGAAATTGAGAAGCAAATTACTATTCTTGGTTACCACTGCCATTTCACCCCCGTCTTAACTCTTGGATCTCAGGAGATAGGTATTTGGAACATTTTAAAATACTGTCAAAAAGACCTTCATCTTATTACTTTTTCCTAGCCTGGACCTGAATATTTAGTCTTATCAAATTTATATCTGATCAGGTTTTAGTGTATTCAAATAGGAAACTGAAGGAAAAGAAATATGAAATCAAGAAAAATAGAGGCAAGAACCACAAAAGAATAAAGTTTAGGAGCACATGCCAATTAGTATGTATGAAGCACAAGTGAAGTCTTGTAAGGACCTTCAGGGCAATCTAATTTAATCCCTTCTCTAATGCATGATGATGAAACAATCTGCTCACTGATTACCTTTCTTCTGTGAAAAACACACACACAACCTGGTGTGGTGGCTCCTGCCTGTAATCCCAGCACATTGGGAGGCCGAGGTCAGCAGATCACATGAGGCCAGGAGTTTGAGACCAGCCTAGCCAACATGGTGAAACCCCATCTCTACTAAAAACATGAAAATTAGCCATTTGTAGTTTCGCGCGCCTGTAATACCAGCTACTTGGGAGGCTGAGGCACAAGAATCGTTGCACCCTAGAGGCAGAGGTTGCAGGGAGCCAAGATCGCACCACAAAGAAAAGCTGGAGAGGTTGACTCCTGAGTGATGGAGTGAGACTGTCTAAGGAGAAAAAGAAACACACACACACATTGGAACACAGAAATGCCCATCCTCCATCCAGGCCAGGGTGGGTGTGAAGATGGGTGTCACAGAGAGCTAATGACCTAGAAGTCAGAATGGAGTGGGGGTGGAGTTGGTGAGATACTTGTTTCGATGGTGCTGTCAAAAAGTTTGGATTGCCCTAGTCAGTCAAGTGATTCCCTTCCTGTTTTGTGTTGTTATTGTTGTTCCACTTTCCACTCTGTTCTGCAGGTGTCTTTTGTTTTCGGAGCGCAGGTAGTATCACCTCAGTTTACTGAGTCAATAAGCTAGAGTCCTCCTCTGTAGAAATAATAGAGAATTGCTTCTCAAATTTATAACATTAATTAAACCTTAGTGGGAAGATTCAATTCACACTTGATCCAGCTCTGACCATGGTGATAAATAACTACAGAGTTTCAAATTTCTGGATTATTTTTTCCCCAGCCCAAAATGAGGATCTGAAGCTTGAAGTCACCAACATACTTCAGAAGCATAAACAGGAAGTAGAGCTCCTCCAAAAGGCAGCCACAATTTCCCAACCTCCTGACAGCCAATCTGAAGCAGCCACTCACCCAGCTGTGTTCCAAGAGAATACTCAGATCCAGGTAAGAGCCTCTTTAAACAAACTAGTCCACTCGGCAGAAAGATCTCTGGCAAATATCCCTAGGAAAGATGACAAGATTAGAAAACTAACTAAATAATATTTTGTCCTGACTGAGGACTTTTTTTTTAACTTTTTTTTGAGATGGAGTTTCGCTCTTGTTTCCCAGGCTGGAGTGCAACGGCACAATCTTGGCTCACTGAAGTCTTTGCCTCCCGGGTTCAAGCAATTATCCTGCCTCAGCCTCCCGGGTAGCTGGGATTACAGGTGCTTGCCACCACAGCCGGCTAATTTTTTTGTATTTTTAGTAGAGACAGGGTTTCGCCTTTTTGGCCAGGCTGGTCTCGAACTCCTGACCTCAGGTGATCCACCCAACTCAGCCTCCCAAAGTGCTGGGATTACAGGTGTGAGCCACCATGCCTGGCTTGAGGACACTTTTTGGAAAACTATGAGAAGGCTGAGAGTAGAGAACTTCATGAGCTCCACTCATTTCTTCCACTCTTTGAAGCTCATAAAATTTAGAATCTTTTTCAGATGAGGACTTGAAAAGATCTGTGGAAGACCAAACAGTCGTTAGTGGCTGTATGATCTCCCTTCACTGCTGCTGCTGAACATGAGGACTAGGGGAAAGAGCACTTGTGAAGTAATACAGGTCCTCTTTTACATTTTGGAGTAGTTTCTGCTGCTAGTATTTTACTACTACCAACAACTGTTTTATGGAGAATCGTTATTACTTTACCTGTCATATTTGTACTCCCTTTTACCAATGCGTTTCCCTCTACAGCCAAGTGAACCCAACAACCAAGAAGAAAAGAAACTGTCCCAGGTGCTAAATGAGTTGCAAGTATCACATGCAGAGACCACACTGGAACTAGAAAAGACCAGGGACATGCTTATTCTGCAGCGCAAAATCAACGTGTGTTATCAGGTGCAAGGAAAGATGGTACAGGAAGGGGATGGATAATAGGGACGTGGGAACCACTCACAGGACTGGGAATGAAGCAAGACCTAAGTTTCCAGGGCTGATGCCAGGTGGTGTGCTATCCTGAGCAAACACAGAATGGCTATCCTTTGAAGAACTTGAGGACTCACTTGTGCCCATGGCACCTTGGCACTAGGAGTCAGTGATGGGACCAGCCCATGCCAATGGCAAGCATAAGGCTTCTGGGTTCAAATTTTGCCAGTCCTAGGAACCACCCTACCTCACTGATAGCACAACTAGTCTTGGAGGGGTCTTCAAGGAAACCAAACCTTCTTTTAGTGGGTGAACCTGCCCAGCTAAGGGTAGCAGTCTTCTTGACCTAGCCAGTGCCACATTTTTTATGCTGTTTGGTTTTAGGCCACTGAGATAGAAAAGTTCAGACATTATTTTGTTTCAGGAGGAACTGGAGGCAATGATGACAAAAGCTGACAATGATAATAGAGATCACAAAGAAAAGCTGGAGAGGTTGACTCGATTACTAGACCTCAAGAATAACCGTATCAAGCAGCTGGAAGGTATTTTAAGAAGCCATGACCTTCCAACATCTGGCAAGTCTTAGTCCTTTGTTCTCCTCACTTTGGAGCCCTTCCACAGCTAACGCCTGCGTTCCACTCTGTGTACTTGTCAAGAAGGGCGCCTCTCATCTCTTTAGCATATGACTCATCCCTCTTGTTCTTTATCCTATCATTTTTGTTGTTTTTTGTTTGTTTTTGAGATGGACTCTTGCTCTGTTGCCCAGGCTGGAGTGCAGTGGTGCGATCTTGGCTCACTGCAACCTCCGCCTTCCAGGTTCAAGTGATTCTCCTGCCTCAGCCTCCCAAGTAGCTGGGATGACAGATGTCCGCCATCACACCTGGCTAATTTTTTGTATTTTTAGTAGAGATGGGGTTTCACCATGTTGGCTAGGTTGGTCTGGAACTCCTGACCTCAGGTGATCCACCCGCCTCGGCCTCCCGAAGTGCTGGGATTACAGGCCTAAGCCACTGCTCCCGGCCCATCTTTGTTGTTTTAATACATGTTAGCAGCTTCTTTCCCTCCATCATGTTTTTCTGATTTCTCTGTGGAGTTTCAATAGGGCCCAGCAATTGCTTCCAGGGGCTTAATTCTGTTGTGAGAATGAATGTCACTGTTGGCTCTCAGGGTGGTAGTGTAACACACAATCTCTCTCTCTCGCTCTGTCTCTCTCATTCTTTCTCTTTCTCCTTTCCCCTGTCCCTCTCTCCTAGTCACTGTTTCCTCAAAGCAGTTTTAGTCAGATAATAGAACTTCATCACTCATCTCCTGTTATTATTATCAGTGATTTCTGTCTTAAAGTCTCTAAAATCGTTGTTGCAGTTTGAGGATGCCGACAGTGACAGGGCAGCTGGCTGGACACTGAATGCAAGTTTCATATTGTGGTGCCTCCTATACTTAGTGTAGTCACTGCTGACCAGAGCCTGGTCTCAGGCTTGTTTGTCAAGACGCTTGGCTTTATTTTTATACCCAGTGGTGAAAGATGTGACTCACAGAAACCAAATTAACCAGAAGCTGATATTTAAACCCAAATGTCTGTTATTTTACAATAGTGGCTATTCCATTGCTGCCATGAGAAATTTGGAACCACAGTCCAGGGCAGCCCTCTTTCAGGAAGCAAAATCAGTAAGTAGGTTTCTTAGTGAGCATGGAATAGAATAAATGGACATGGCTGGGCACAGTGGCTCACGCCTGTAATCCCAACACTTTGGGAGGACAAGGCGGGTGGATTGCCTGAGGTCAGGAGTTCGAGACCAGCCTGGCCAACATCGTGAAACCCCATCACTACTAAAAATACAAAAATTAGCTGCTGGGTGTGGTGGTGGACATCTGTCATCCCAGCTACTTGGGAGGCTGAGACAGGAGAATCACTTGAACCTGAGAGGCAGAGGTTGCAGTGAGCCGAGACTGGGCCATTGCATTCTAGCCTGGGCAACAAGAGTGAAACTCTGTCTCAAAAAGAAAAAAGAAAAAAAAGAATAAAAGCACATAAGTGTCTCTGGGCCATAATTTATCCATGTCAGGGTGAGTCTGATAAAAGGTCACTGCTCCTACCTATGTCTGAAGATTTATTTGCTTTAGCTAATAGTTCTTTGATCACTGATAAGGATAACGAGTTTTTCTATGTTCACCAGTTATTTGTATTATTCCTTTTGAGAATTGACCATTCCTATCCTTTGCCCACTTCTTAACAGTATCCTCTTCATTTATAGAAATTATTTTTATGCTGAGATTATTACTCCTGCATCATGTAATGCAAAATTTTAAGTATATTCTATTTAATTATATTAATGTTGTTAATTAAGAAAATAGTCTCCTTATTTGTGTGTGTGTGTGTGTGTGTGTCATGAAGACATTCTGATGTATCCAGAATATTTTATTCTACTGCTTTAACTCTTAAAATAGGACCTTCAGCAGCAGCAGCACACTGTGATGACTCAAATATTCCCCAGTTTGAAGCAGGCTATATATCAAAGTTTGTGATTGGTTGGACTTGGGAGATAATACCCAGATTTGCTAGACTGTCTACCTATCTTTACATCCCACTGCCAATATTTCCTACCTCTTTCCAGTAAGTCTCCTTTCCCACTTTTTACTCCATTACTCTTTAACTTATAATGTACTTTTTGCCTTCTTATGTTGAAACCAAATTCTGAAAAGAATGAAAGATCTGGTGACTGACCTGGCTGGAGAAGGAGAAGCATTTCTCGGTGGTACTCAATGTAATGTCATAGACACTATGTCTTCAACTTGCTATTATCTCCATGGCCAATATACCAAACTTAGAGAAATATTCATATTTTTGTGTTTCTAGTACTTCTCTTATGGAATTACCAATTAATTCATAGGGCCACGATGTACGCCAAAACAATGTCATATATAAGACAAAATGTGCCCCCAGTGTTTTCGTAAGTTTAGCGTCTACTTTCCAATCCCTCCTTTTGTACCTTCTCCCTAAGGCTGGCATTGGATTATTTGGCTGTCAAAATTCAATGCTCCCAGATGTCATTCTGTTGCTTTTCTTTTTGAATCACGTGGTTTCTTGAAATAATCACAACTTGGACTTCCACCATGTGTTTTATATTTCTTTTGTCCACCCTCCTCTACCCTGAGAAAGAACTCCCTACTCTTTAATGGATAGGCAGTTTTCTTTCCCCTCTAGAACAGCTCAAAGATGTTGCTTATGGCACCCGACAGTTGTCATTATGTTTGGAAACACTGCCAGCCCATGGAGATGAGGATAAAGTGGATATTTCTCTGCTGCATCAGGGTGAGAATCTTTTTGAACTGCACATCCACCAGGCCTTCCTGACATCTGCCGCCCTAGCTCAAGCTGGAGATACCCAACCTACCACTTTCTGCACCTATTCCTTCTATGACTTTGAAACCCACTGTACCCCGTTATCTGTGGGGCCACAGCCCCTCTATGACTTCACCTCCCAGTATGTGATGGAGACAGATTCCCTTTTCTTACACTACCTTCAAGAGGCTTCAGCCCGGCTTGATCTACACCAGGCTGTGGCCAGTGAACACAACACTCTTGCTGCAGGATGGATTTGCTTTGACAGGGTGCTAGAGACTGTGGAGAAAGTCCATGGCTTGGCCACACTGATTGGTAAGTGCTGTTGGCTTCCTGCAGCTCCTAAGCACCAATGCAGAATTTCCCAAAGCCTACAGTTGCTTTTCTGGTGGTTTCTTATTTTCTTCCTTTGTCTTTGTTCTTGATCCTTGCCACACCATCTGTATTCTCCCTGCTCTCATACTTTCTGCTGCCCAGGAGCTGGTGGAGAAGAGTTCGGGGTTCTAGAGTACTGGATGAGGCTGCGTTTCCCCATAAAACCCAGCCTACAGGCATGCAATAAACGAAAGAAAGCCCAGGTCTACCTGTCAACCAATGTGCTTGGAGGCCGGAAGGCCCAGGAAGATGAGGTGAGAAAAAGGATGTGTTGAGGCATCTCAGAGGAGCCTCAGCCAAACAGCTCATGAAAACAGTTCAGTCTTCCACTCTCAATAAGTATTTGTTGAATGTGAATGAAAGAGAAAACTGTCACACCACAACTAGTCTGGATTATTCCCTTGGTCAGGCTTGAGTCTGAAATGGAAGTATGCCTTTGGAGCTAGCTACATCCTTCATCCTTGCTGTGAACAGAATAGTTTCTCTGTGCTGTTCTCTAAGTTAAGTCATGAGTGCTAGTATCTCCCTCAAATAACTGCCAGAGCCAGTTTGCAGGCAGGTGAAGATCATTAGGTTTCTTCCTCATCCAGTTGGGATAGCTGTTCTCTAGATCATAGCTCTTCCTCACCACAGATCCTAGGCTTCACATACAACACTCTCAAGCTGCCCTTTTCCTCACATGACCAACATCTTTCCAGTTCAGATTGGAGTCTTGGGAACCTCAGAACGAGCTGCAGATTGAAATCACCAAGTGCTGTGGCCTCCGGAGTCGATGGCTGGGAACTCAACCCAGTCCATATGCTGTGTACCGCTTCTTCACCTTTTCTGACCATGACACTGCCATCATTCCAGCTAGTAACAACCCCTACTTTAGAGACCAGGCTCGATTCCCGGTGCTTGTGACCTCTGACCTGGACCAATATCTGAGACGGGAGGCCCTGTCTATACATGTTTTTGATGATGAAGACTTAGAGCCTGGCTCATATCTTGGCCGAGCCCAAGTGCCTTTACTGCCTCTTGCAAAAAATGAATCTATCAAAGGTGGGAGTTCGAGGTTATTGCATCTTCACGCCCTCTTCCCAGTGTTGTCTCCCTGTCCTGATTCTACTTTTCTTTGATTACTTGCTTGAAACAGTCTCTCTTAAAACCTGAAGAGAAAGGATTTAGAATATTGTCAAGATCAACAGGGCAGAAGACTTAGAGCCTCACTACTTGTATGGAAACACTGGCTTCTTCTGCTTCTTTTCAGTCACAAAGACAACATTCCGGAGTGGGTAGAGCCAGCAACCTGAATTCTATACCTCTGTGTCTGAATAAACTTTTTTTTTTTTTCCGAGATGGAGTTTCACACTTGTTGTCCAGGCGAGTAGCTGGGATTACAGGCATGCGCCACCACACCTGGCTAATTTTTGTATTTTTAGTAGAGACGGGATTTCTCCATGTTGGTCAGGCTGGTCTTCAACTCCCGACCTCAGGTGATCCGCCTACCTCAGCCTGCCGAAGTACTGGGATTATAGGCATGAGCCACTGTGCCTGGCTGAACAAACTTTTTCAAGCTCTGTAATGCTGTCTAGTATCTGTCTTTACTTAAGGCCTGTTGTTTCTTAGTGTATAACTAGATAAATACGTGATTGTAAACTGAGACCTTAACACTCCCCATCATTCTCTCACTTCTTTTAAACACTGGACACAAGTTAGAGAGATTTCCACACCAGGCCATGTCAAAGGCAAATGTCTTGGATTTTTTTTTTCTCCCAGTGTGGAGCTGAGCTCCATACTGTCTTTCCTAACTTTTATACCTAGGATTGTGGGGGCGTACCAAGAGGGGTCAACTCTTTGACTACGGTCCTGGGAGGGTGAGGCGGGGGTATCCATGTTCTCCTTAGGAAGTGGGAGTAGCTGCAGCCAGAAACAACCATATTTAACAAGGTTCTGGATGCTCCAGGAAATGTGTGCAGCTCTCTCCTCAATACAACTGCTTAAAAAAAGGCTGACACTTCTGGACGCAACTGCTTTGCCAAACAGAGGAAGCAGTATAAGCCATCTGTTAATCAGTGTTACAAATCAGACGTCTGGCATTTCGAAAAAGCCATTTTGCTTAAGTTTTCTTGGGACCACTTGAGGGTAGAGATGACAGTTTTCTTGGAACAACAAAGGCACAGTAAGCATTTGATAATAGTAATAATAATGCAATCTTGTTTATTGGCTGGATGACTGATGACAAGCAAGCTGTACTCCTTTTCATACACCTTTCACTATCTCTCCCTGCATCCTAGAGATAACCCATCTTCCCTGGTTAATATTCTAACTGCTCTGCTATTTGATTTTACTTCTGAGTGTATCATCATCGTAATTATTTGATGGATGTTAATTAATTGCTGATAAAATATGTTGAAATTAAAAATAGGAAGGAAATAGATAAGATGCTGACAAATGATCACTTGTTTATTTCATGTGATCAAGTCTTATTAATATCTGTTTGTCTCTCAGGTGATTTTAACCTCACTGACCCTGCAGAGAAACCCAACGGGTCTATTCAAGTGCAACTGGATTGGAAGTTTCCCTACATACCCCCTGAGAGTTTCCTGAAACCAGAAGCTCAGACTAAGGGGAAGGATACCAAGGACAGTTCAAAGATCTCATCTGAAGAGGAAAAGGCTTCATTTCCTTCCCAGGTAACTCTCCAGGACTCCACAGGTGGCAGATCTCTGCCAATCCGATGGAGCAGATTTGAAGGAGACAGTATTATAGTTGGAGTAGGTGCTCATGCCTGTAATCTCAGCACTTTGGGAGGCCATAGCAGGCAAATCACCTGAGGTTGGGAGTTCAAGACCAGCCTGACCAACAGGGTGAAACCCTGTCTTTTCTAAAAATACAAAAAATTAGCTGGGCATGGTGGGGCATGCCTGTAATCCCAGGTACTCAGGAGGCTGAGGCAAGAGAATCACTTGAACACAGGAGGTGGAAGTTACAGCGAGCCGAGATCACGCCATTGCACTCCGGCCTGGGCAATAAGAGTGAAACTCTGTCTCAAAAAATAAAAAGAAATTCCCTGTGTGAATGTCATGTGTCCTGTGAACTTAATATATATCTCTCATAATGCCGTGAGACTACTGATGGAGCGAAAGCCTGGGTTTTATTGTGGAAAGAGAGAGAGAGAGCATTTCTCAACTCCGTGAGGAAAGAAATGAAGTCTAATGCTAGTTCCTAAATCCCTTTCTTGTGTTTCTAGGTTGTTAAACTACTATCTTGTAACGCTGTCTCTGATCTTTCTATTCAGGACCAGATGGTACCTCCTGGGGTTCCCGTTGAAGCTGGTCAGTATCAAGCAAGGAGAAAATCTCCTCATGGGGGAGAAAGAAAGGAAAAGGAGCACCAGGTTGTGAGCTACTCAAGAAGAAAACATGGCAAAAGAATAGGCGTTCAAGGGAAGAATAGAATGGAGTATCTTAGCCTTAACGTCTTAAATGGAAATACACCAGAGGTAAGACCTTAAAAACTCTGAAGCGCTAAATTGTGGGGTGTAGTGTCCCCAGATGTATTATTCTCAGAGGTAGAAGCAGAAGCAGACACACAAGATAAGCAATAATCGGCCGGGCATGGTGGCTCCGGCCTGTAATCCCAGCACTTTGGGAGGCCGAGACGGGTGGATCACCTGAGGTCAGGAGCTTGAGACCAGCTTGACCAACATGGCGAAACCCTGTTTCTACTAAAAATACAAAAATTAGCCGGGCGTGGTGGTGCATACCTGTAATCCCAGCTACTCAGGAGGCTGAGGAAGGAGAATCACTCGAACCTGGAAGGTGGAAGTTGTGGTGAGCTAAGATCACGCCATTGCATTCCAGCCTGGGCAACAAGTGCGAAACTCCATCTCAAAAGAAACTCGCTCTGTTGCCCAGGCCAGAGTGCAATGGCACGATCTCGGCTCACTGCAGCCTCCTCCTCCCAGGTTCAAGCAATTCTGTTGCCTCAGCCTCCCAAGTAGCTGGGATTACAGGCACCTGCTACCATACCTGGCTAATTTTTGTATTTTTAGTAGAGATGAGGTTTCACCATGTTGACCAGGCTGGTCTCCTGACCTCAGGTGATCTGCCTGCCTCGGCCTCCCAAAGTGCTGTGATTATAGGCGTGAGCCACCATGCCCGGCCAACAAGTATTAACTTTAAAAATTAAAAAGAGCTAGTATTGTCTGGACATGGTGACTCATGCCTGTTATCCTAGCACTTTGGGAGGCTGAGGCATGCCAATCATGTGAGGTCAGGAGTTCGAGACCAGCCTGGTCAACATGGTGAAACCCCATCTCTACTAAAAATAGAAAAATTAGTCAGGTGTGGTGACGAGCTCCTGTAATCCCAGCTACTCGGGAGGCTGAGGCAGGAGAATCGCTTGAACCCAGAAGGCGGAGGTTGCAGTGAGCCAAGATGGTATCACTGCACTCTGGCCTGAGTGACAGAGGGAGACTCTGTCTCAAAATAATAATAATAATAATAATAATAATAATTTTAAAAAATAAAAAGAGCTAGTATTTAAAAAGAAGGCAGGAAGGAAGGAATGAAGAAAGAAAACCAAACCAAGATATTACCAGCTATGTAATATTGTTCTTCTTATTCTGAAGCAGGTGAATTACACTGAGTGGAAGTTCTCAGAGGCTTACAGTTCCATAGGTGATGGCTTTAAAAATGAGCCAGAGGAAGAGGAAATGACATTATCCCATTCAGCACTGAAACAGAAGGAACCTCTACATCCTGTAAATGGTATTGTATTTTAAAATCTATTTTTTTCCCCAGCACTTTGGGAGGCCGAAGTGGGCGGATCACAAGGTCAGGCATTCAAGAGCAGCCCAGCCAACATGGTGAAACCCGTCTCTACTAAAAATACAAAAATTAGCTGGGTGTGGTGGCACGTGCCTGTAATCCTAGCTACTCAGGAGGCTGAGGCAGGAGAATTGCTTGAACCCAGGAGGAGGAGGTTGCAGTGAACTGAGGTTGCACCACTGTGCTCCTCCAGCCTGGGCGACAGAGCAAGACTCCATCTCAAAAAAAAGAAAAAAAAGCAATTTTTTTCTGTTTAATCATTGAATTGTTTTGCCAAGCTAGTTATTTACTTTTCCCCTTCATCTTAGAATGCTAAATTTTTCATGGAAAATTAGTGTGTAAGACTCTAGGCCCAGTTTTGTGTTATAAGTGTGATGGTTAGGTTAGCCAAGGCTGGAATTCTTAAAGAAGTAACTTACCCAGTATTTATAAAATGTTATTTTGCCCCAGGGTTTTTTTTGTTTTGTTTTGTTTTTGAGATGGAGTCTCATTCTGTCTCCTAGACTGAGTGCAATGGCATGATCTCAGCTCACTGCAACCTCTGCCTCTCGGGTTCAAGCAATTCTCCTGCCTCAGCCTCCCGAGTAGCTGGGATTATAGGTATGCACCACCACACCCTGCTAATTTTGTATTTTTAGTAGAGATGGGGTTACTCCATGTTGGTCAGGCTAGTCTCGAACTCCTGACCTTAGGTGATCCGCCCACCTCGGCCTCCCAAAGTGCTGGGATTACAGGTGTGAGCCACCGCACCCAACCTAGTTTTGATTTTCTCATTAAAACTGTTTGTTGGCTAGGCGCAGTGGCTCACACCTGTAATCCCAGCACTTTGAGAGGAGTAGACGGGTAGATCACCTGAGGTCGGGAGTTTGAGACTAGCTTGGCCAACATGATGAAACCCCATCTCTACTAAAAATACAAAAAATTAGCTGGGTGTGGTAGCATCTGCCTGTAATCCCAGCTACTGGGGAGGCTAAGGCAGGACAATTGCTTAAACCCCGGAGGCAGAGGTTGCAGTGAGCTGAGATTACACCACTACAGTCCAGCCTGGGCAACAGAGCAAGACTCTGTCTCAATATAAAAAACAAAAAACAAGTCAGTGTTTGTCTTGATTATTGAGTTTTTGGCACCCCTTCAAATTTTATGCCTAAGGTCCGTGCCTCAAATGCCATCCTCTAGTTCTGACAGTGGTCAGAATAGTGGTTACTCCTAGGAGAAGGGGAAGATGGTTATCAGGAAAGGACACGCTTTGGGCATCTGGAGTGCTACCAACGTTCTATTTCTTGGCTGAGTTGTGATAGAGATGTTCATTTTACAACAATTTAATAAGCTGAACATTTATATTTCATAGGTTTTTCTATGTGCTTGAAAAATGTAATAATGAGAGGAAAAATATAAAGGCAGATATGAAAATATTGTGAAAAGGGAGTCTTTACTACTTAAAAAAAGCTTTTTTTCTAAATCTCTAGAAGTATTTTATGTATATAATATATATGTGTGTGTGTATATATATATATAAAATTATTATTATTTTTTTAGATGAAGTCTCTCTCTGTTGCTCAGGCTGGAGTGCAGTGGCACAATCTCAGCTCACTGCAATCTCTGCCTCCCAGGTTCGAGTGAGTCTCCTGCCTCAGCCTCCAGAGTAGCTGGGACTACAGGTGTGCCCCAGCATGCCCGGCTAATATTTGTATTTTTAGTAGAGACTAGGTTTCATCATGTTGTCCAGGCTGGTCTCAAATTCCTGGCCTCAAGTGATCCACCCGCCTCAGCCTCCCAAAGTGCTGGGATTACAGGTGTGAGCCACCACACCTGGCCTAAAAGTATAATTTTTTTTTTTTTTTTTTTTGAGATGGAGTCTGGCTCAGTCACCCAGGCTGGAGTGCAGTGGCGCGATCTCGGCTCACTGCAAGCTCCACCTCCCGGGTTCATGCCATTCTCCTGCCTCAGCCTCCCGAGTAGCTGGGACTACAGGCGCCCGCCGCCATGCCCAGCTAATTTTTTTGCATTTTTAGTAGAGACGGGGTTTCACTGTGTTAGCCAGGATGGTCTCGATCTCCTGACCTCATGATCCGCCCACCTCGGCCTCCCAAAGTGCTGGGATTACAGGCGTGAGCCACTGCGCCCGGCCTAAAAGTATAATTTTTAAGCTTTTGAATGTATTTGGTATAACTTAAATGGGAAGAGCTAAAAGCATAATTTTTATGCTTTTGAATGTATTCGGAATAACTTCTTAAATGGGAAGAGCATAAATGATTTTTCTCATGAGAAGGATAATTTTTCTATTGATTGCATAATCCCATTTTTCCATCAAAATTTACTCAGTGTAACGAAGGTTAACAAGAATAACCAAGCCCAAAGTTTCCCAGAGCCAAATTTACATGACTGGCAAGAAATCCTGGTTATAAGAGAACAATTCCATTCTTATGATTTGCAGACAGACCAGAAGGTAATCTAAACCTCATGTACTATATGGTCATCTATTTATAGTCATAAATAATAAAAGAAGACTATTTCTGTGGAAGCCTAATTGTTAGTTATTGTTTTAATATCGCTGTTCTCCATGAATTTCAAAAGATCAGGACTGGCCAGGTGCGGTGGCTTACACCTGTAATCCCAGCAGTTTGGGAGGCCGAGACGGGCAGATCACCTGAGGTCAGGAGTTTGAGACTAGCCTGGCCAACGTGGTGAAACCCTGCCTCTACTAAAAATGCAAAAATTAGCCAGGTGTGGTGGCAGGTGCTGGTAACCCCATCTACCTGGGAAGCTGAGGCAGGAGAATCGCTTGAACCTGGGAGGCAGAAGTTGCAGTGAGCCGAGACCATGCCATGTACTCCAGCCTGGGCAACAAGAGCAATACTCCATCTCAAAAAAAAAAAAAAAAAAAAAAAAAAAAAAAAAATCAAAACCACTAGTTAGTACTCGCAAGAAGCTAAAATCTGCCTGGTTTCAGACGTCTGAGTGGAGCTATCAGAGGCAGGATGCTGTAGTTGTTGAAAAAGAAGCTTATTAATATTTTAGACAAAGATCTAAGGGTATTAGTTAAAGGCCATCAAGAAATGAAAAGGGCCTGATTTTGAGGCCATTTCCACATATGTAGACAAAGCCTTGTGTCCTTTAGCAGCCTTTCCTTTTGCTGCCCCTCAGACCTTTTCCCTTTGAGACCTCAGTGAAACGGACAACCCAAGATTTTGAAATTTTACAGAAGAGGCACAGCTTGCTGTCCAGTTATCTAATGCTGTGTAACAATCTACTCCAAAACTTAGTGACTTAAAAAAACAATGATCATTTCTTTGGCTCACTACTCTGCATGTTAGGTAGGTCTCATGAAGAAGGCTCATTTCTCCTCTCTCAATGTGGCATGAGATGGGGTAGCTCAGCTAGGGGGCTGATGGGTTTAACTTGCAAGATGGCTCACCCTACTCGCTGATCAGGTGCTCCTGGCTGTCAGCAGTTGCTTGGGCTTCCTCACAGGTTGGTAGCTGAGTTCCAAGAGAGCCAGGTGCAAGTCCATGGCATTTTTGTGTTCTGGCCTTAGAAGTCACATAGCATCACTCCTACCATACTCTTTCAGTTGAGACAGTCCAAAAGATCCACCTTAGTTGAAGGGGAGGGGACAAAGACCCCAGCACTCAATAGGAGCAGTGTTAAGGTCAGTTGCATTGTGAGGAGAGCATGTGGGATGGGAGAGATCATTTGAGGCTATCTTTTTTTTTTTTTGAGACAGAGTCTCTTGTCGCCCAGGCTGGAGTGCAGTGGCCTCGATCTCGGCTCACTGCAACCTCTGCCTCCTGGATTCAAGCAACTCTCCTGCCTCAGCCTCCTGAGTAGCTAGGACCACAGGAGTGCGCCACCAAGCCAGGCTAATTTTGCATTTTTAGTAGAGATGGGGCTTCGCCATGTTGGCCAGGCTGGTCTAAAACTCCTGACCTCAGGTGATCACCTGCCTCGGCCTCCCGAAGTGCTGGGATTACAGGTGTGAGCCACCGCGCCCGGCCAGAGAGGCCATCTTTGGAAAATACAATCTGCCCCACCCATTTGTACTGCTTTACCTCAAGCTTGGCCATTTTCTTCAACCCCCACAAAAGGACTTCCTTCTTCCTCCTTTACTCTCACCCTTCCTTCCTGCCTTCCTTCCTTTCTGTTTTTCCTTCTTTCCCTTTCTTTTTTTGAGAAGTGAATCCTGTATGTTTAGCAAGCTTCTGAATAAGTGTACCTTTGAAAAAGAGGGTTTGATTCTTAGTAAGTGAAGACAAAATCTAGACACTTGGAACTAGTGACCAGACAGTGGATTGGAGATGTGTGTGCTGGGTCTTTTCTTGGGCTAGAGTGCTTTGAAACAGTTCTATAACTGCAACCTCTTCTCTAGCAGATAAAGAATCCTCTGAACAAGGTTCAGAAGTCAGTGAAGCACAAACTACAGATAGTGATGACGTCATAGTGCCACCCATGTCTCAGAAATATAAGGCAGTAAGTACACTGGTGTAATCATTGCATATGAGATAAGACTATAAATAATGACAGTGACCAGGCATGGTGGCTCATGCCTGTAATCCCAGCACCTTGGGAGGCCGAGGTGGGCAGATCACCTAAGGTCGGGAGTTCGAGACCAGCTTGACCAACATGGAGAAACCTCATCTCTACTAGAAATACAAAAAAAATTAGCCAGGCGTGGTGGCGCATCCCTGTAATCCCAGCTACTCAGGAGGCTGAGGCAGGAGAATCGCTTGAACCTGAGAGGCAGAGGTTGCAGTGAGCTGAGATCGCGCCATTGCACTCCAGCCTAGGCAACAAGAGCAAAACTCTGTCTCCAAAAAAAAAAAAAAAAAAAAAAAAGCAATAATGACAGTGTGCTTAGTGGCCACACAAGTAAGGGTCAAAAGGTCAATCCAGTTTTAATGAAGCTGATGGAAAATGCAAATTGTTTAGTTAAATTTATGTTTCATGTGAATGAAGGTCGGCTGGTACAGTCAGATAAATGGATCATTTTCTTGAGATAGTGTAAATGATGACTTGCATCAATACTCTCCTATCTGGATCCTTTGCCTGTTCTTACTCCCATATCCTCCATTGTGTCCTGTAATTCATGCCCAGCCTGAATGGTACCCCTGTCTTTAAGTCCATCTAAGGAGAACAGGTTTGCTTTGGGAGATGGAGTCTGGAAGAGAGGACGGGATTCTTCATGGGAGGGCTCATGGAGATCTTTCCATTTCTGCTGTTTTTTACTCAACCCGTAATTATCTGTTAAACAGTTCAGCCTCAAAGCTCTTTCAGAACTAATTTAAGAGACACACATATATTAATAAATATCCAGATATATTCAATAATCATTGTGTTCTAACCTTGTGGGTTACAAATGGGTAGAAAACAATTAGTCTTAAGTCACTGCTGCCTGGCACATTTGTAGGTTCTCAATTAATATTTGTTGAGTGAGTGACTAAATAAAAGATTCAGAGCAAATTGATGATTATGAACTTCATTAGAAACATTAAATAAGAATGTAGGATGACCTAAAACCAAGGAGATAGATTATGTAATATAAAGTTTGTTGTAAGAAATCAGAAAAGGGAATTTATGGTTGCTTTTGTAGAGGTTGGAAAACTCTTCCTTGAAAGCTGGAATTTGTGCTGAAGATTTGCAGGAAAATGAAGGATATTGGAGTGAGGAGAAACAACTCAAAGTCAGTAGACTTAAACATTGACTATAACACATAGTTCAATTTCAGCCAAGGTGTGGTGGTTCACACCTGTAATCCCAGCACTTTGGGAGACTGAGGCAGGCGGATTGCTTAAGGCCGGGAATTCAAGACAAGCCTGAGCAACATAGCAAGACAACTGTCTCTACATAAAATTTAAAAACTAGCTAGGCGCGGTGGCTCACATCTGTAGTCCTAAGTATTTGGGAGGCTGAGGTGAGAGGATTCTTTGAGCCTGAGAGTTTGAGGCTGTGGTGAGCCATGATCTTGCCACTGCACTGTAGCCTAGGTGACAGAGAGATACCCCGTCTCAAAAACAACAGCAACAGCAAAACCAGTTGCGTTTCTCTTTGTCTGAACTTTTATCTATCATATATTTTTTAGATATTATGTAGTTAATATACTGAGAAGTGTTTGTAATACAGGTAGGAGCCACAGAATGTCGGAATTAGATAAAAGAAGACTAAACGATGTGTACAGGATTATTGAGTTAGTGAAAGAGCTGAAACTCCAGTTGAGGTTTTTAAACTGTGCCACCTCTTAAGTAACCAAAAAAGCAGCCAGCTGATCAGCAAACTGATCTTGAACTGTAACAAGCCAGCCAGATTCCATTTTAAAAAGTACCTAAATTGAAGACTCCTAAATAAGATATCCTTTTAGGAAACTTCTTTGTGTGCCCCAAAGTGTTACTTGAGAAATTAAATATGCAAAAGGAACCTACTTAAGCAAAAAATCAGTGTTATTATCAAGTTAAACTTATAACATGGGCACATATATATTAAATTATTGTTGTATTCCAAAATGTCTAGGCATGAAAGATAGAGGGGGTTGAAAGCTCAGAGTCAATACTTGAGTTCTGTCACTCCTCTGCCTGGGGTCAGCCGGGATGAATGGAGATGAAGTACAGTGTAATGTTTTAGAGCATAGAAATTTGGCTGAGACAGTGATTTAGGTCCCAGCTCTGCTACTTACTAGTCATACAGCTTTGGGAGAGTTATTTAACCTCTATTAGGCCTGTCTCCTTATCTGTAAAATGTAAGTAGTAATATACCCATCTGATGGTGATGTGGCAAGATTAAAATAAGGGTTTAATACAGTGCCTCAGACAAATTAAGTCCCAAATGATAGTGATGATGAGTGTGATGATAATAGTAGTCTCGTTTCTCTGACCTATTGGAGTTCTCAATGTTAAGCATTTTTTTTTTTTTTTTTTTTTGAGATGGAGGCCTGTTCTGTCGTGTAGGCTGGAGTGCGCGCAGTGGCACAATCTCGGCTCACTGCAACCTCTGCCTCCCAGGTTCAAGAGATTCTCCTGCCTCAGGCTTCCGAGTAGCTGGGACCACAGGTGTGCATCACCACAACCAGCTAATTTTTGTGTTTTTAGTAGAGACGGAGTTTCACCATGTTGTCCAGGCTGGTCTCAAACTCCCAACCTCAGGTGATCCACCCATCTCCGCCTCCCAAAGTGCTGGGATTTACAGGTATAAGCCACTGTGCCTGGTCTAAGTTAAACTTTTTTTTTTTTTTTTAAGACAGAGTCTCGCTCTGTCACCCAGGTTGGAGTGCAGTGGCACTATCTTGGCTCACTGTAACCTCCGCTTCCCGGGTTCAAGTGACTCTCCTGCCTCAGCTTCTCAAGTAGCTGGGACTACAGACACATGCTGTCACCTCCAGCTAATTTTTTTGTTTGTTTGTTTTGAGACCTCGCTCTGTTGCCCAGGCTGGAGTGCAGTGGTGGGATCTCCACTCACTGCAAGCTCCGCCTCCCAGGTTCACGCCATTCTCCTGTCTCACCCTCTGAGTAGCTGGGACTACAGGCATGTGCCACCACGCCTGGCTAATTTTTTGTATTTTTAGTAGAGACGGGGTTTCACCGTGTTAGCCAGGATGGTCTCAATCTCCTGACCTCGTGATCTGCACGCCTCGGCCTCCCAAAGTGCTGGGATTACAGGCGTGAGCCACCACACCAGGCCTCCCTCTTCTTAACAGTTACTAACGCCGGGCGCGGTGGCTCACGCCTGTAATTCCAGCACTTTGGGAGGCCGAGGTGGGCGGATCACGAGGTCAGGAGATCAAGACCATCCTGGCGAACACGGTGAAAACCCATCTCTACTAAAAATACAAAAAAATTAGCCGGGCGTGGTGGCGGGCGCCTGTAGTCCCAGCTACTCGGGAGGCTGAGGCAGGAGAATGGCGTGAACCCGGGAGGCGGAGCTTGCAGTGAGCCAAGATTGCGCCACTGCACTCCAGCTTGGGCGACTGAGCGAGACTCTGTCTCAAAAAAATCCAAAAACAAACAAACAAACAAAAAAACAGTTACTAACTAAGAGGGAGCAATCATTTTCATTTGCTCTACGGCCTTAGATTACTGTTTCTTTAGCAATAGTGAATATCGAAATTTTTTCTCTTATGGTGTTAATTTCAGGTGTCAGAGATTTCCTGACCCTTATGTATGCCGGGTAGTACGTTTTAGCAGCCCTGCCCCTGAGCCAAATTAGATAGCACATCTGAAGCTAATAAGCCAAAGGGTGTTACCTGGCACTAATCCTTGAGGGTTTCTGCCAGCAAGTTCAAATGAGTTGATACATATTTCAATGGTTAATATTACTAATTGCATGCTTTTTTTTGCTGTTCAGTCCCAATAAAATTACATAATGGAATTAGCTCATGTAAAGAAAGGATTCTGAATCCAACAAAAAATATTAGATTGAACCACATATTGTCATACTCATAGATAAAAAATAGTTGACAATTGTCAGTTCTGTATAGTCCAACCTAATATGAATGAATGAAACATCTGTGTATACTTGGATCAAATTTTAATCTTATTCATCCTCCCATTTCGCCATTGTTACCAGAATAAACTTGATGTAGTCTGCATGAATATGGACTTCTGATTATTGTCCCAGGATTATTAGCAAGTTTAAAAAATTTGCTGGGCGTGGGGGCTCATGCCTGTAATCCCATCACTTTGGGAGGCCGAGGTGGGCGGATCACCTGAGGTCAGGAGTTTGAGACAAGCCTGGCCAACATGGAGAAATCCTGTGTACAGAAATACAAAAATTAGCTGGGCATGATGGCGGGTGCCTGTAATCCCAGCTACTCCGGAGGCTGAGGCAGGAGAATCGCTTGAGCCCAGGGGGTGGAGTTTGCAGTGAGCCAAGATCGCATCACTGCACTCCAGCCTGGGCAAAAGAGCAAGACTCCATCTCAAAAAATTTGTTTTTTTTCTTTAACTAGCCAGGCGCAGTGGCTCACACCTGTAATCCTAGCACTTTGGGAGGCTGAGGCGGGTGGATCACTGGAGGTCAGGGGTTTGAGAACAGCCTGGCCAACATGGTGAAACCCGGTCTCTACTAAAAATATAAAAATATTAGTCGGATGTGGTGGCACATGCTGGTAACCCCAACTACTCAGGAGGCTGAGGCATGAGAATCACTTGAACTCAGGGGGTGAAGGTTGCCGTGAGCCGAGATCATGCCACTGCACTCCAGCCTGGGTGACAGACTAAGACTCTGTCTTAAAAAAAAAAAAATTTAAACTGGACTACACAAGTAAGGTTTAGAATACATTTTTTTTTGTTCCAGGATTTTTAGTGAATTCAAAAATTTTAAATTAAACAACTCAAGATGGTGAAATACTTTTTTTTTTTTGCAAAATACTAGAATATTACAAATAAAGCTGAATCACTTAGATTGACCATTATCCTTAATCCCCTGCTGTCTTTGCACCCCATTCCCCCAAGAAAACCATTGTTGTGAATTTTGGGGTATAT